TTAGAGGAATTCTTAGCTTTTAAGTGCTTAACTTTTTTTTTTTTTCCCTTCAAAAAATTAATCTAGGGATAGTCATTTGTAGAACTAGAAAACCTTACATTTTGGTGTGAAATACCTGCTTATGTTAAGGCTTACTTTCCTGTTCTGCAAGGTGTCCTTAGATGCCAATGGTGAAACAAGTCCTTGCTCCAGAACTAGCCCATGCTTTGGAAAAGTGCTTCTATCAGAGTTCAGTATTGGTAGTTCTTCACTGTGCATCTGTTTCTCAGGGTTTTTCTGGTTGGCTGGTTTTGTCCGTACTGGCCTCCTTCAGAGGGGCTCCTGTTGATAAAGCTGACACTGAGCAGCACTTAAGTGGAGGAGGGTTTGCAGCTGCACCAGCTCCATAGGCTTGGGCTGTGCAGCTGACCCTTCTGGCTGTATTCTTCACTGAAAGCAGAGTTTTGGCCTTCCAGGTGAGCTGCTGGGGTTGAAGCACACCAGATGGGATTTCAGTTGTTAAGGATGGTGTTGAAACCATAATTGGACCTGAGGTCTACGAGCTTCTAAATGTTTTTAAAAGTAAGGTGATATTTATAATTTTCATGAGAGTTGTGAGTTTGTTGCCAAATGAAATACTGCTTATTCAAATTAGAAATCTGTGAAAATATAACCAAAAGGAACAAGCCAGCTATATGACATTTATTAAAATAACTTGCTGTACTTCACTGTTTACAAAGAGTTCCTTTGTTATTTTGACAAATGTCTGCCAATAGCAACTGTTAAATGGTGGTAAAACAGGCATCGCCTTGCACTCAGCAACAAGTTTCTGATACTGGTCAGTTACTAAGAACTCTTTTAGTCAATTAGGTCTTTTGTTTTATCTGCAGTTCCAGCTTTAATAAATACTTTCTCTGTCCTGATATGATACTTACAAAGTATTCGCTTTAGATGTTTTCTGTTATCTTTCAAGGCGATGGTAAATTAAGTCTTTACAGGTCATGTGTATTTAATATTTAGGCAGAATATTTTATTAAGCTTAAGATGTCTTAGATATGCATGTACAATACATGTTTGCCTTTGAACCACTGCATACGGAAACTTCATGTGTGAATAGGCAATAAAGCTTGTCCGTAAGCCAGGGTGAATGCAGATGCAGTTGGACTTTGGAAGTCTTCATGCTCGTTACGCAGTCCTTTTTTTGCTTGTCCCTTGCAGGGTGGGATGGATATAGCTACAAGTGCACAGCCAGGTTTTCTTCTGAGGTATGGTAAAAACGTCCTTTTGAAATAAAGAGAACTTATCTGAAGTAAGGCCTCTCTGCTTGCGCATGTGACACGTCATCTGTTTCACGTTCTGCACCCTGTGAAGTTGGGGATTTTTTCCATTACGATTGGTGGAACCAGCAATGGGTAAGTAGACCCATTTTAGCCTGTGAGCTTCTGAAGTGAGATGTAGCTGACTGCTTCTGCTAGTGTAACCATTACAGGTGCTGTGTGCACAGGGATTGTTTTTGCCCGCTGATAAGCCTTCAGGATTTCTAGGGCACATTTCATAGTTCCTGATGCTGCAACAAATGAAGCTCCCTTCTCAGGCTGTTATGCGAGTGTCATCTTGTCAGTAGCTATAGTGGGGAAGGAAGGGCAGAGAGGTGAAGGGCTGGAGATGGTATTAGCTTGCACCCTCGGTGTGTCAGTGCTGCTATGGGAGGTGGTGGGGCAGTGTGCCAGTGTGGTGGTGACTGCTGGGGTTGGGGAAGGAGAGGTGCAGGAAGAGCTGCCGTGGCCAGCGTGCTCTTGTTGCTGAGCAGTGAGAGCCCTTCTTTCTCCCCAAGCAGGTATTGTGCTTCTTGGCTCCCTGCCATGGTGCTGGCCCAACAACCTCACTGAAACCCTGGTTCAAGCTCCTACTTCTAAGCAGGCTGACAAGTTTGGTGGAAAGCTTTAGCTACAGATTTGGAGGAGCAGGTTAACAGGTGGTTAAGAGTAACATCTAGGTAAACATTTGTGGCGAGTGGTTACTGACATAACTGCATGTTAACACGGACACGTTGGGATGAGTCTCCCCTAGGACTTGTGTGAAGTCACAGGTATCAGTGTGTTAGCAGTGAGCATTTATAAGACAGCTTCAGGAAGCCATCCTATTTACTTGCTCATTTTTATCACAGCTTTTAGTTAGGCTTTTAATTCTTATCAAGTAGCTTGAATTGGGGGCCAGGAGGAAGAGAACAGATGGATCAGGAAGAGAACAACTTCAGTAAATATTCTGATGATATGGAGTAAAGAAGGGGGAGTTTCCTACTGATAGGAGCTGAATAGGAACAAAAGATCAATATGAACTGAAAATGCAAAGAGATTAGCAACAGTTCTCATACTGCTCAAAAGTCAAGCTCTTTTTTCCCTTGTGTATTTTTTTTTTAAAGATTCTTTAAGCAAATTTCCTATGCAGACTTTCCCACTTCAAGATGCCTTTTAATGAAGCGTGGCTTTGTTTTGCTTTATTTTGAGGGGGAAATTTCGGCTTCTCCCTTTTGAATCGTGTTATTCAAATGGATGAAGGCATTCTGCTTTCTGCAAGAGGCTGTGAGAACCAGAAAGTATCTGGAGAACTGGAGTACTCACTGCCAGCTGTTAGGGCAGAAATGCCTTCAGCAGTTTAATGAAGGAAGGTGTGGAAGGCTCTTCTTAGTAACGTGTGTGCTGTCAAAAAGTGAATGAATATAACCAAGTAGCCAGTTGAGGAAGCTGAAACAGGACAAATAATTCATAACGCTAGCAAAGTTTTAAACTGGAGATCAGGTTTGCAGGAGTGTGGGATGTTTAAGTCCGTTTACACAAGTAAATGGGGCTGTGAGGTTGAGGAATGTGAAGGGAAAAAGGTTGAAGGCATTCAGAGAACTGCTGGAATACACACGTGCCTTATATTAGTGATGAAGTTCATTAAAACTGGCCATTTTCCTTCTACCTTTGAGCATTTCCAATGGGTAGTTTTACTGATTGTAAAGAGTTTCTGTGAAAAAAGATGGTGGATCAATTAGAAAAGCTTAAGTGGTGATGCTTGATAGGCACAGTATGCTCTTTCATCGTGTCCTCGTGCAGACAATGTATTATGGCTTTCAGGTCTGTGAATGCTGTAGGACAATTTTTATAAGCAGGCTCTGCTCATCCTCAGCTAAGCTCCCCCTATGAAATTTTGAGCAGCTTTACAATACGTGTTGATATTTTTTTCCTTCTAAAATCAGAGTAGTGAAACTGTTAGTATCTGCTTCAGCTTCTCCAGGTGGTCTATAGACTGGATGTAGTCTTTCTCACCTATTAAATTTAACTTTCAACATCAGAAAAAAAGATAGACCATAAATGAAGACTGGGTGATGTACGTTACTGAGCTCTCACCATGCGTTGCACCTTTGTGGTGCACCTTTGTTCTGAGGAATGGAGTGCATGGGGGAGAAGGAAGGGAAATGGGGCTGTCTGCATGAATGCCATCCCCCCAACAGCAGCGTTATGCCAGTGCATTTCACTGCTTCCCTCGAGGAGAGGAGCTGTGGGCCGAATTACTGGAGTGATGGTGGCTGGGAATTGGTGTCAGAAGGGGCAGAAGCAGGAGGAGCTCATCCAGGGGCTGCGTGTGGCTGTGGAAAGGGGACCAACATCAGCGCTTTTGGAATTCTGTGGCTGAATGAAAAGTCAGGAGGTTCAGCTCTGCAGCACAGGGGCAGTGCTGCGATGCCCTGGGGCTTCTGCAGGCTGCCTCCATTTGGGCTCTGCGGTGAGAAGATTTTGACATTCTGCAGATGAATAATTAAATCCAAGAGGATTGTTTTAAACAAAAGAAGCACTGATAAGAGCGTGCTTTTGTTTTAGCTTTGTGTCTGTGACCAGCGGGCCTGTGTAAACACAAAGTGCCCTGAAGTCTCTCAGAGCCACAGGAGCCATGCATCTGTCCTTGCGGGTGGGATGGGGAGGGCTGGAGCCCCAGCTGATCTGCTCTGATCCAGCTGTTAATGGGCATCCTCTGAGGGCGGGGGGCTCTGTCATGAGGGCTAGCACAATTCTATCTATGCTAAGTGCCTTGAATTGATATGTTGCTGATGCGATGTGTAGCTGAACCACACTTGGCTGGGGTTTCCAGCCATGTGAAATGCAGGGGCTGCCTATTCCCAAAGGTTGCATTGGGGTGAGGTTCTTGTTGAGGTCTTTCCTATCTTAGCGAGTGTTGCCCTGTTTGTGGCAGTGGCAGGGTTAACACCCAGGCCCTTTATCTGGCTTATTGCTGGCCGTTTTGCACAGCATTAGAATGGCAAGGGTATTACTGGTGTGCGAAGTGCCGGCCCTTTCTGATGGTGTCATGTGCAGCTCAGGATAAAGTCCTGCACGTATCTCTGTTCACTACAGTGTGTTTGTTTGGCCATGCAGTCGCTGTCCCGTTGCTGTATGCATCTCTTGTGCCTCTCCTGCAATGTGTGGAAAAGCGTAACAGCAAACCAGTACGTGACTGGCACGCATCTGGGGAGTGGGGCTTATCGTACGATAACTTCTACATGGAGCTGGCTCGGGGCAGCGGGCCGCATGCAGGACCGGGAGCTGGCACCGTGGCTCGGCCTGCCCCGGTCCCGCCGCCTCGCCCTGCCCGGGGAGCAGCCCCGGAGGCGACCCCGCAGCCGGGCGCGCTCCCGGCGCCGCGTCCGCGCTTTGTGCCTTCAGCCTCCCCCCCTTCCTTCCCCCCCCCCGCGGCCGAGAGGCGGAGGAGCCGCCCGCTGCCAGGGGGCCGGCGCGGCCGGAGCCAATCCGCGCCCGCCGCTGTTGCTATGCGCGCCCCTACTCTGCCCGCCGGCCGCGCGCCCCGCTGCGCGCCCCCGCGGCGGCTGGCGGCCGGTATGGACAGAGCGCCGCGCGGCCCAGGTGTGTACGGAGCGCCGGGGCTCGGCAGCGGGCGGGCTGCGGGGCCGGGGCCGTGCGAGCGGGGCGGGCGGGCGCCGTGCCGGGGGTGGCTCGGCCCGCTCCGGCTGCGGGACCGCCCGCGAAAAGTTAACCCCGCGCCGCTTTGTGGGGGAGCCCGCCGGGGGCTTCGGTCGGAAGGCAGGGATCGCCGTCGGTGCCGCGGCGGCGGCGCTACGCCGCCCGCAACGCGAGGGGTGCGTTTGGAGCGGCGAAGCCAGGCGGCTGGTGCCGGGCCCGCCGGCGGCTTGCCGGCTGTGGCTGCCGCTTCCTTGTTGGGGGACCGAGCCACCCCCTGCCCGGAGCCCCGCGGCCCGGCTGGGTTCCTGCCCTGCTCTGCCCTGCCACGGAGGTCACGTCCTTTTTTCCTCTCCTCCAGCAGGAGGAAACTTGCAGTGTTTTCTTTTCTGCTGGAAACAATGCGTGAAAGCGTTATCGCTCCTCTGCCACTGCTTGGTTGTTGAGGGCAAACGAAGCCGATGCAGATGTGTCAGCGTTGGGGGCAACTAGGAAGGTGTATTTTCAGTTAGCAGCTTACTGTCTGCTCAACTCTAGGCTATGGAGGAAGGTAATTAAATAACACACTGAATCCAACGCTAAATCGAGAACGAGCCATTCCTTTTTATTTCGAATGCCTCTGGGGATGCTGGTGCTGCTGGGGCTCGGTGCGTGCCTGCATTCCCACCCAGGAGCCAGGGCTGTCCGGCAGCCCCTGAGCTCAGGTGTTCCTCTCCTGGCACGGGACAGGGGGTCTGGTGGCGTGTGTGGGAATGTGGTTTTGGCTCACCCAGACGTTGCCCTAAGTGCTAGTGGGGAATTTTGGAGAGGGGAAATTTCACTGTTGTTGCATTATTTTGCATTTTAAATGTGTTGATTTAATGTGTGCTGTTTTGCACCCTTGTAGAAAATGATCGTGTTTTAGGAGAGGGGGAGGCGAACTTGCAACGTTCTGTTAAGCCTCTGTGCTTTGTGGCATTTTAATTTTTTGGGTACCGGAAGACCATTAAGGCTCCATAGCATGACTTAGTTGTGTTGGTAGCTGAGCTGTGTAACCAGTTCTGAAACCACCAAAACCTTCTCTTTTATGCGCTCAGGATTCAGTTGCAGACTCTGGTGTCCATTTTAAACTGAGCAGTCTCCTGCACAGCTGTAACGTTCCTGGTTATCCCCCTAAATAAAGCTTAAAAACAATTTATGGGCTTGGCCGCTCTCCCAGACATTTTTCAAATGAGAAGTGTATATTGTCTCTTTGTAACTTTTTTACTTTTGCAGGTTACTGTTTAACCACTTAAGGGCAGGCCTTGTAGGTGAAGGTTAATAGCGTTGGAAAAGTTACCTGAGGAGCTTCGTGCTACTTCATCATCAGTTTCATCTCTGTCCTTTCCGAGCTCCTTGTCTTTCTGATGAAGAAGCAGTGCCTGCCTTTGGCCTGCTGGCCTTGCTTCTTTCCCTCCGTCCTGTGCTCTGAGTAACCTGGACTGCAAGTACTAAAAGACTCTCCTGAGGCTGAAGGCAGCCCTGCTAGCTAGGGGGAGGATTTGGGGTGGTCAGACGTGTTCTGACAGAGCTCCTTGAGATACATTACCCACCGCCGAGATGGCAGCGAGCAGGCTGTAACATCAAAGAGATCTGTGAGATGGAGTAAAAAAGCGTAAAGAGAAGATGAATGCAGAAAGGAACAGCAGTTCTACAGGTCAGATTTTACATGTTGTGAAAATGGTTTCCTGTGGGTTTCTTGTTTTGTCTTTCTGTATTTCAGACAAAATAATTGGATTCACGATCTACATTCCTCACCTGTGCACACTTTCTAACAAGCCCTCTTTTTTTTTTTATTGTGTGTGGTTTTTGGTTGCTGTTTTTATTAAGTACCCCTACATCTAGTTCTGTTCTAGCAGCAGTGCTGCTCAGGCTTTAGGCTAGTAGGTGCAGCTTCTCTCTGACTCGATGGTTCTAATAAAGTTCTGAGGGTACCAGCTCCTGCTCAACCCGCATTCTACATGTCTCATGTTTTGTGTGTTGTCCATTCAAATAAAATTCTTGAATTCTTGGATGTTTCTATCTTTTTCCTCGTAAACATTCTTTTAAAGCCTTGTTATTAGCAGTGCATTTGCACTGTTTGGTTTGTTTCTCACTTTCTTGTTTTTCAGGTATTCTGGGGAGGAAAAAAAAAAAAAAAAAAAAAAAAAAACAGCTCAGCAGCATTAGTAAGTGCCTCACATGTAGACAGAACTGTGCCTAACAATTCTTCCTCAGTGTGCCTGTATTTATCTTGGGCTTAGATGTGCCATCCGTGTTTGGATAGCTTCCTGGACTTGAACCAAATCTGTGGAGCTGGCGGGGTTGGATAGTCAGAGAGCTGCCCTGGGTGTAATTCATGGAGCCCTCCCATGTGAAGCTGAGTATCTTTGATGGATACGTTTCCTGAACATGGCAAAAGAAAAAACCTTTTTATACACACTGGACTGTTTGACTGCATCTTCCTCTTTGGAACCAGAAGTAAGGAAAGGTCTGTTTTCTTGTTTTGACACAGTATCACATGAGTTTCTAAGCCTTTGCATTATACTGGATCTGTCCTACACATGTGTAGTGTTATCTACAAAATCCCTCGTTTCAGTGGAGTCAGAAAAGGCATCTTAACCATGGCTCTCTGCTGCAGTTCTTGCTACAGTGAAATTGCCCGTGCATATAGCAGGCTAGTGGTGTGCATGTCATCCAAGTGAAAGACTAGATGGAAAACATTGTGTTGTTATTCAGATGTGTGATTTGGTCTTGTGATGCTCTGCAATACTCTTTCCATATTCCCACATAAATACCTTTTTTTTTTTTTTTTCCTATCACTATAATTTTAGGGGTCTGACCTTTACTGGCTGTACCTGTAAGCAGAATGCTTTAGTGTATATATAATGCAGCACTTCCTTGTTAAGTGACAAACGAGGGCTTCTTGCCAATTCCTAACCGATTTTATTTTTTTCTGTTGAGTAGTTTTGGTAACAGTAGATGAAAAACAGTCCTGTTGTTCCTTTTTGGCAGTGTGTAGCTTCCCACTTTCTTGTGAGAGCAGGATGAGCAAAGAGCAGCCACCTGACCAGCTGTCCCAGCACTCAGGCAGTGCTTTGCTTTAGGTAACGGATTTGAATGAAGATACTGAGATCAGGGCAGAAGATTTCAAGTACCAAATGGTGAGCTTGCAAGTATGACAACCAAGTTTTTGTTTTCTTAGTATTAGAAATAGTAGATGAATATATTTCAGATCCTCTTCAGGGATAAAAGGCAATATTTCCTTGCTGGTAACACATCGTTGAGTCTACACTGTTCATATTCTGGAGTAAAGTTAAAAACCTGGTTTCTTCTGGGAAGATGAGATACAGAAGATCAAGAGATGGTGTGGAACTCAAGAGTATAAGTGGGGTGTGCTTAAATGGGAGAGACGCAGCATGTCTTGCAGTTCAGCCATCTATCATCTTTCCATACTGATGTTTTTTTGAGAAGAAAGCTGCTACTTCCAGTGTCTGCATAAGCATGTGCCTTTTCCTTGGTGAGAAAGGAGAATATTGACCAGCAGGCTAAGTCTGGCAGTGGTGCTCATTCTACCTGGAAGAAAACCGAGCTCTCAGTTGAATTTTCGCATTCATTAGGAGTTTACAAAAGGGCTGAAGGTGGGGCGATGAGTTCTGCAAACTTAAATGGCAGGCAGCAGCGATAACAAGCGAGACTGTTGTTAAATAGTTAATAACAGATGGCTGAACTTCTGATGCAAATGATCAGGCAGAGCAAGAGAAGTTCTCTGCATCCTGACCCAGTGACTCCTCGCTGTTCCCATGGCAACTAACACATTTTTCCAGTTTCAGCAAAGTTTTTGGAACCGAAGATGACTTGTTGGTTTTACGGCTTTAAAATAAATTTAAAAGGCAGAGTGGAGCAGCTGGAGGAGAAAACATAAACCAGGAGAATGTGGATGTGAATTCCTAGAGATGTTGGTGTATTTTTGTTCCTATAAGATCTTTCTGAAAAACATCTGAAGTACTGTGCGTTTTAAGAAGCCTGTCAGTTAAAGCATACATTTAAATGTGAAAGTTAATAATCTGAACAGATCCACCTGAATCCTTTTCATGTAACCTAACATGAAAATTACCTGTTGCTGTTGGGAGAGTGCTGAAAGGGGTGAAGTGTGGAGGAAGAGGAGGTTTTTGGTATGGTACGGAGAAGCAAGGCAGGGCTGTAGCTCGTGGGATGGATGTGGCTTTTTGTCTGTAGCCATAGCAGGGCTGGAAGCTCTGCTGGCCACTGCACAAGGTATGGCCTTCTCTGCTCCTTTTGTGGGGCAAAACTGAAAGACTAGAAGAGCGTTCTGGAGAAACGTTGCTACAGCTTTCCTCTGTGCTGTTCTTGCAGATGGACCTGTGTCTGACTGCTGGAGCAGTGAGGAAGGACCCAACAGTTAACTTTCCTATGTGTTATAGCAAAGCTGCTGCGCAGCTGTACCTGCTGTGGTTAAGCTTGAAATGGAAAGTTGATGATCTCTTGTTAGGTCAGGACCCCTGAACAGGCATTTGTGGAGGCTAAACTACATGGCACTGAGACCACTGCAGAAAAGTGCTTCTGAAGCAGGTTTTAGTCTGTTCCCCAGGGAGGGCCATGGCCAGGGTCTGGGAATGCTCCTGAATGTGAGTCATTTCTCACAAAGCATAAACAATCTGTTGTAAGCCTGCTTTATCAGTGCTCTTGAGAACAGTTTCTTCAGCTGCTGCTGTTTCTGAGATACATTTATGGCTGCAGGTCTTACATTGTGCCAGTGGCTTCTTTATAGAGTGAAGAAAGTCCTTCACATTCAAGCATACCAAGCCTGGATATACTCGAACTCTATTGCCAGAGTTTCTCCTTTGCTGGTTGCTTACCTTGATGGATCAAGTAATTCTTCGGCCACGTTATTACTGCTAGAGAGGAAGGAAGTAAATTTCTGAAATTCTGACCTGGTGATTAGCACTTGTTGTCTGTGATACAAATTAAGAGTCCCATTCAGGTACCAGGGCTGTGTTTTGCTGTGCATTGTACAGATGTGGAACAAAAAGGCTGTCCTCACCTTGGACCTTATGTGAGTATCCAGCAAGGAAATCAATGCTTCCAAGAGAGGCTTGTAAGGAAACAAAGGATGATACTGATGAGACAGATAAACTGATCTCAGCATTGTTTTGCAGTGTGTACTTCCCATCTGTGGGTTAACGTGGGAGGGAGGGAAGCACAGGTAATTGATGGACTTGAAGCTAATGTCAGGCTAATTGGCACCGAAAGTTTAGAGCTACAGTGAGTGGGAGACAACAGGAATGTTGGCAAATTCATGGAAAATCTTTTTTCTTTTAAGTAATTTGCTCATTATGTAGAAAGATTTCAGCAGAAAAACACAACAAGGTGTATCGAGGATCAAAAAAGACAACAGGAAAATACAGTTTCCTGTGAAGCACCAGCCAGGCGTACCTTCCTCTTCAGGCTGGCTGCTGGTGAGGTGTAACCTTTTCTCTGTCCTCTGCACACTTGTTTCCAGTGGTGGGTCCCATGGGAAGGGTGGGCCCTGCTGGTGCTGCCTGGAGCAGGAGCTGTGCTGGCACTGGGCTGCTCCCACAGGCTGTGCCCAGCCAGAGCCTGGGCTTCCAGCTTTGTCCTCTCATACTGCACAGAGCTCCTGTCTGAGCAGCTCCAGAGCTCATGCACTGCTGTCAAATCCACGCACTGGAGATGCAGGCTGGTGCGGGGACATCCAGGGAGAGCCCTTTCTGCACATAAAGCACTTCATTCTTTCTCTTTTTTAAAAAGCATCCTCTCCGAGCAACAAAGCTGTGTGTTGTGGTTGCTTGAAAATAATATATTTTCTTCATGGATTTGTATCAGAAAATCTCCGTGTGATCTCCTGGTTGTTGCATACTTGGGGTTGGTGTTGCTTATGGGACTTCTTTGGTCTGATGCTCAGCTGGAGCATCTGCAGGCATTTGTGTTCGATGAAGCGATGGGTGGGCAGAGCCTTCATGTTGCTGGTGTGCAGCTGATGGTGACTCTTCAGCATTTCTGAACTGAAGACAACTTGAGGCAATTTCCCCTAACAGTAAAGAAAGTAATTTTGGCATCTTCTGTTTGAAGTTTAATTGAATACTTAATGTATATGTTGGTATATTTTCTGCTGGTTTCAAACTCGGCGCTTTCTCCCCATTGCGTACTGTTGATTAAATATAATGTATCGAGGAGGATCTAGGCTTGCTTTATTTCATCACACTTTGCTTCTGTGGGTTGTTTTGCACAAAATACAGAAGAGCTGGTGGAGGACCTTGGGCCTCAACTGGATAAAAACATTTATTCTCCATACGCTGCTTGCTTTGCTATTTTTAGCACACTGTTTTCCTTTCCTTGTGATTCATTGCTCTGTGCCTTGGCTTGCAGGTCACCTGGCTTTGGATGTGCAGACCAGGGCTGGATCTCTGCTGGCACAACAGTGCTGCGACCTGAGGAGCTGGGTGCTCCTGTGCTGGGGTGGCTCTGGAAGGGGTGGGGAAGGCTGAGCCCTGTCCCTGACCCATACTCTGGAAAGTATGTTCTAAGAATAGGCGTACGGGGCGTTACAAACCCACGTGCGACGGGGAGCAGGGCTGGGCTATGGGTGATGTGAGGTCAGAGCTCATGGGGCTGGCCAGCCCTTGGCTTGCCTCTGCCCTCATGGAGGGACGGCTGTTTTGGATGGATGTGGTAGGAGTGCAGCGCTGCTATTCTTGCTGTGGCAGTGTTAATTTTAGCTTTCAGATGAGTGTCTGGGGCTGTCAGAAGGCTGTTCTGCCCTGTGGGGTCAGGGTGGTGCTCCTGGGAACCAGCCCTCAGGCCACAGTGTGCTGCCTGAACAGAGGGCAGAGGGTCAGCAGGCGTGCATGTTTGTAAGGCAGACAGGGGTATGTTGGTATGTTGGTGAGATAGCAGCAGTCAGGTGGGTCCTCTTCCTAAAAGGATACTTTCCAAGGATTGTATGTAAGGAAAGCCTGACTGTGCTGGGAGCATCTCTTGTGCTGGTGGTAACACCAGAGCTGTAGCAGCGACCTGTTTGGGTGAGGATCAGAACTCGTGCCCCTGAAGAGCTGACATACTAATCGTGCACACGGGAGGCCTCAGCTTGTAATAGCATTTTAATAGAGCTGACTGCTTTAACCAGAAAATTGGACTAGGTCATCGGTGTTGGTTTTTTTTTCTCCCCAAAATAACTTACTTCTCTCCTCCTCCCCATCCCACATCCTTCTCTGGCTCACTGGTTTGCTTTTTGTGACGTGCCTCAGTAAAGCTGAGAAGTTGCTGTAACTATTAGAAAGAGGTACTGATAGGTAACTTTGAGAGAAGTTCATCGTGCAAGAGGTCCCTCGGTACTCTTGGGAAACTGTTCCGATACCTTTGCTTTGTTGGCCAAGTGTTGGGTGCTGGTTTCCCATAATGTGTGGCTCACTGTTCAGAGGGATTCCCCTGGCTCTTGCAGCTGTGGCATCCCTGTTGATTCCACCCAAAATGAGTCAGCGTCGGGTGTTTGGATTTCACGTTGCATTTTCCAGATTTGCTCTGGTTTATTTTTGAGAGTCCTGGCAATTATCTGAAGCACGTGTCACGTGTTGTAACGGTTCTTTTCCTTGCAGTAACCTTAGGGAAGAAAAACACCAGCTTGTGTCTGTGATGCTTTTGTCTGTGGTGCAATACCAGGTGTTTATGAAACAAAGTGGGACCTGTGCTCACACACCATGCAGCTGGCATTCACTGTGAGGACTTCTGCCTGCTCCCACTCCAGGTCTGTTCAGTTCCATAATGACTCTTCAGAATCACTTGCTCAGTCTTTGAGAACTGAAGGCTCTTTACATTCCTCCTCAGAAAAGAAATGCTGTTTTATCAGTGTTAGCAGTGAAACAAGCACAAGAACACTTGAAATTATATTGTCAAAGTTTCAAAGTACTGTAATTATCTAAGGTGATGAGATAAAGCCTGAAATACCTCAAAGACATTAACATTTAGTGTTTGTGGGAAACCTTGATTTAAAACAAAAAAGGCTTTTTTTGGCATGTCTGTATCGCTGTGCATGCTGCTCCAAACTACACTGACATATATTGTAAAGATGTAAAGGGACAGAACAATGAACTGCAGAGGAACCCAGGCAGCACGGGATAGAAACACGTGGTTTAAGGAGAGGGCTGCTCTGGCAGCTCTTATAAGCACTAAAATACCTACTGTAGGATTTTAAGCAACACTCCAGTGTTGTTTTTTTTTTTAAAGACACATCTGAGCCTGCTTTATTATCACAAGTTGTTGCTTTACATCTTCAGACCAATCTCTGTATAAAATATTGCAGAAGTTTGCAAATAGTTGAATCATTGTCAAGCTCGATTGTTAAACAAATTAAAGAGAAACTTATGTCTGCGGTGCTGAGCTGTATTGTGTTTAAGGTCTCACATAAAATTTCTGGCATCCATTTTTATTTATATATTATAAAAATTCAGTCACAGCCAGAACTTAATGCAGAGCTGCTGCCGACCTGTTTAATGGAGGGATGCGGTGGCGTCCAACTGGAGTCAGACCTCCCAGTACTGAACTGCTGCAACTGCTGTATGGGTGTTACGCCTGCACGAAGAGGTGAGTGCAGCCAAATACGTGTGCTTTTTCATTGTGAATTGTTAGGCTTCCATTGAAAAGAAAGCAGCAGCTGTGGGGCTGCAGCAGCGTGGTTGATGGAAGCCTTCAGTCTGTACGTGTGGCTGCAGCCAAGTCAGTTCTCGAATTAGCAGGTTAGAGTAGTGAAGCTCCTCACTGCCTTCCTCGTTCTGTGCAGCCCTGCTGAGGGATGGGGCTTTGTCCTTCCAAGAGGGCTCCATTGGAATCAGTAAGTGAAGGAGGCCTGAAAAGATGTTTGAATGTAGATTTGGAAATCTCATACAGGAAAATCCGTACTTGAATGTAAGGATGCTCACTTGTTTTTTGGAATAAACCTAAAGAATAAGCTTTTGCATCTTCCATAAGCTTAAGGAGGCTCTGGTTTCTGTCCCGGGGTGATGTGCTGCCTCGTTCCCAGCTCTGCTGGTTCCCAGCCCACCTGGGGGCTGCAGGTGCAAGCTGCTGGTGGAGCTGGATGCTTGCCTGGGGCTCAGCTGTGCACCCCCCTCCTGTGAACCAGGTAGGATTTTGAAACAGAACAATTTTAGCAACTTATTTTCACTATAGTCAAGCAAAATTTGTTAGTTCTAATATAAGTGTAGACTGGTGTACATGTTTGTTTCATTATGATGTAAGGTTGTGTGCAAATTCTTGTGTGCATATCACATTTAAACAAGTGGCAATCTAGGAAATCCTAATGTAAAGGAAAACACAAATTGATGTGTTTTTAATTAAGTACATTATTGAGGCAAAAGTTCTCTTTGCTTTCAGTACCTGCCTGATTATAGCATGTTAGTACAAGCAGCATCTTTTGTAACTCCTTCTGTAGAGTGCTGGGTATGGGATCAGCAAAAACTGTATGTTGCTCCAGCCTGCTTATATGTAAAATGCTAACCATCTTTTAAAACGTCAGCATTGAGGCTCTTACAGCTTCACAGTGATGTTCCAGCACTCGTTTACCTGGGTTAGGATACAGTGCAGCAGCTGTATTGTGGAATAGACATCTTTTCTTGCAGCTCAGTGAATGGAGGGTTGGAACTGAGTTTGAAACTTGCTGCCTGTTTTCAGGTATAGTCTTCCATTACATAAATACAGACCATGAAATCATAACGATTGCTCTGCTTCTCCATTTGTCATTTCCTTGTGGAGTGAGAAACAATTTGGCTTACATCATTTGTTCTTAAGTGTTCCCCTTCTTTTCCCAGTTAAGTGAAAATAAATTCAGTTTCCCTGACCAAAATACTGATGTTGGATCTAGAGTTTGGGTTGGTGGAATGCCAACAAGTCAAAAGTAGCAGGCTAACCTGATGTTGCTAGGTAAAAATAGAAGGCTACAGTTGGGAAGAGCAGTGACTCAGTGAGCAGTGTGGTGATGGCAGAATAGGATGTCGGCCAAGGCACAGGAAGCGGGATGGGAACACCCAGAGCAGTTCAGCAGTCTGTGTTTTGCTCTCAGAGGGAGTGGTTTCTGAGTCTGCTGCCGAGCGTTTCAGCTTGAAATGAATTAAACTGCTCTTCTTCTGTACTCATTGAACGGTTTGACCCTGAATAGATTTTAGCAAAAACAGTTTATGTGAATTGTACTTTTTGTCCAGCCTGATTCTAAGCCTGGTATCTTTTCACTGACTTCATGTGCTGCACGGCTGGCTCTGGCTGAGTTCTGAGTAGGGCTGTGGGCAGGTGGGCAGCGCGGTGATGGGGAGCGGCGTCTGGTGGTGCTCATCCATTTGTATGGCTCTGTAGTAGCTTCATTGGCTGCCATGTAGTCATGTCTTATTTTTTAAAATTACCTGTGATGTTTTGTTGTTTCTTCTTTTTCTTGATTGTAAATGGTTGTGAGATCACCAAGGCAGTAATTTGTTTTCTGTTCTTCTATACGGAACTAAGTAGATCCAGCACTTGTATAGCTTCTAGTCTACTTCATTGAGCATCAGTCCTAAGTTAATGTTCTGTGCTACCATTTCTTGCCTGCATCTGAGGTGTTGCAGTGAGCAGGTCATGGTTCGGCTCGATGCTCTGGGAAATGTAAAGAGGCAGTAGAAATGCCATGAGGTACTGCACTTCTGTTCCAGGAGTCAGTGCTGGGGGGAGTCTATAGAGCATTCCTCAGATAAGGTGAGTCACCAGTTCGTTGCATTTTTTTGAATTTAAGTAAACTTAGCTAATGGCTTGTTTCATGAAAGGCACAGACTGGCTTATGGTTTTGACTCTTGATAGCTTAAATTATACTTAAACCCTTAATATTGCAAGGCCTGTGAGCTCTGTGACTTTAGATGTAATTACGGGCTTGAAGCGTGTAGACACAACATCCAGAAAATGATGGATTTTGGAGGTTCAAGGGCAACTTTCTTTGAAGGTGAGCACAACATGGGATTAGTTAACTGAAGCATCCGTAGGTGTTTCTAATTCCAGAAGAGAAGCTATTAGTCAAATGTTTACATTGTGTTTCATTTCCTTTACAGTAGTCTTTTGAATCCTTGCCTTATTCTTAAAACGCAGGGCTACCTTTAACCCACTTCTTGGAGGAATGAGATAATAAAACCCATTCGTTGGCTGTTAGGAGGGAGGGCCATAGAGCCCATGCTGAAACTTTTATGTGCCTTGCAGAGCCTCTGCTAGGAGGAGGTGGGAACTTCTTGTTCTGACCCTTGCAGAGCAGCCACTGCTTCCTTAGTGTAACTGACATCCATGGCCTGGAGCCTCAGACTGAAGAGTCTCCCTACAGGCTGCCTGTAATAATAATTACAAAATAAGAAATCCACACGCTGGAGCAGTATTTTTAGTCTTTTCAAAAATTGACACTGGAGTGGGACCAAATGCACTGGAAAATAAATGTAATGCAGAGTGGTGTCAGTGGGGGGTTGGGGAGGTGCAGGGGAAGAAGTGTGGCTGGGCAAACAGTGGGGCCAGCATCCGGCTGTGCACCTGAGCTGCACCAGTGGGGCAATTCCTGTGTGGGTCTGCAGTTTCCTTGCTTTCTAGTAAGTGAAATATGAGTCTAATTATACAGGTGGCTTTCAGAATCTGTCCTGGATGCCTAAAGATTTTTCAGGGATGCTCTGGACCATCCTAGAGCATATTTAAAGCTCTTACTAGCTGTGTTTCATGGACTTCTAAGAATAGCCTAGCTCACAGTGTGGGGGGGTCCCTGTGGCTGTAGAAGGGCCAGAGCTGCACCCCTGGAAAACAGGGCAAGGTTTGCAATAGGCATGGTGGAGCACCTGGGTGCATGATACCAGTGCCTTTGCTTTATGTCTCAGCTAGGAGAGAGATTAACCGTGCTTCTAATGACATTTCACGAAAGCATTTTCTGTAATTACTGCAGAAAATACAGCAGTAGGAAAGGGAAGGGAGTTGGTCTGCATGGCCGTGACCTGACTGGGGAAGGAGTCACTGGGCAGAGCTGGCTCAGCTGTGCTGGGAGAGTCTGTCCCAGCTTGGTGAGATTATGGCTGGCTTGTACTGCAGGCGTGAGTTCAAGAGATTGCAGTGTGTGCCTGTTCTAGCTTTTCCTTTGTTTTTGAGTTCTTGTCCTTTACTACAGTGCCCCCGTGACTTGTGCATGCGTGCAGTGGACAGGGGAGGGCAAGGATCTGAAGACTCTTCCTACTATTTCTTGTTAAATGTGCTTTCCTGTTTGTCTGAAAGCTGTATGAAAGTAGTTCTTGTTTGGTGTATGGAAGAGACAAAGGAAGACAAAACACTGTGCCTCCAGGTCTAAGTTCTCCAGCACTGTGCTTAGTTCTATGTATAGCATAATAGCTTCATTCAAAATTTATATATATATATTTTTCCTCCTACAGTAGTCTGTTGCTGTCTCCTGTGACTAGCTGGTCAGTACACTTCAGTTTCAATTAGTAGTGAAGGGCAGTAGTGCCCTATTACTTTAATTCCCATGTACTTGTGTCAACCAATTGAAGTTTTATCCATTTTAAGGGCAAGAAAATACATGCACTGCTGGATCACTTGTTATATATTACACATTTGCATGTTCCATTGCTAGAGATGAAGCAGAATAAAAACATTCATAGTGAAGTTACAGGCTGAGGTGATTCTGTGCATAGTGTGTCGTGTCTTAAACAGGGCTGAATTATAGACAAAAGCAAACTGCTGCAGCACACATAACCAGGAATTCTTTTTCGCTAAACACTGAGTTTGCTGTTTCTATAAATGCCTTTCCACCCTTGTCCTCAATTACATCAACTTGCATCATCTGTGTCTGTTGTGTAGGAACAATTATCATGCTTCTCAGCATTCACAGGGCTTTTTTCCTCTACTGAAACTATTAGAAGTTGCCAAATAATACAGAAATCACGTGGAGCTAAAAAAAGTCAATATGCCACATGGCATTTGTAGGAAAACACGTTTCTCAATAACCATTGCTAATTTTGTGCTTTAAAAAAATTCAGGATCAGATGCCTTGTTTGTTACATTAACTGTTGGCCCTGTCTTCATAAGCTGTTAAGAGAGCAGTAGCTTCTCCTAGCTCAGTGCTTGGTGTTGGGCATCCTTTTAAGGATGTGCCATTTGCAGTTTCCTAGTGTAAATTTTCAGGTATCGCATCCTACTCTGCACATCTCTGTTCCATAAGAGCTGGCTGACCAAGGTGGGATCTGTGTAAGCGCACCCAGATCTCGATGGAGTGCTTTCACTTCTTTTCATTAAAACCTGAGTGCTTTTACATGCTTAACTGCACGGATTTCTCTGATATTCTCTCAAGAAGCAGTGTTTCTTCCTTCCTTTTTTGCCTGCTGGGCACAAGGCCTTTCTGCTTTAGTTTGTTCTGGCTGCCATTGAGTGCTTCTGGGTGTTGGCAGTTCCTACAGCCTTGCAGGAGAGCTGCTCCCATAAGGTGGTCACAGCAGGCTGGATCACTAACACCACTGTGACCTTTGGGCATACGGAGTTGAGCACAATGCTTGTATTAGCACCAAGACACCATCTCAGTGCTTTTCAGAGATTTTCTGTATCCCATTCCCTATTCTCTAAGTGTGACTTTACCTGTTCTTTGGGCGTATGCCTGGAAAAAAAAAAAAAGTTGGAGGTGCCTAATTTTGTCAGTGAGTCACATCACTGTACGTGACTTGTCCTCTCTGTTATTTACTGTTCCTTTAATCTTCTGAGCCCCCTTCTTTAGTAATTTTCTGCCTTCCATCAGAAGAATGGCCACTTTAACTCGTGCCAGGTGACTCAAGGCTTGATGCATGTGGGGTCCTCCGGGAAACTCATCTCACCTCAGGCTTTTGGTGGAAGGCAGGTGGTGGGCTGTGCCTGGTGCAGGCAGCACCCAGCCCTGAGCTGCCACTGAGTGGGGGCTCCTGCTGCCACTGTCTGACCTGCCTTCTCTTCTGTTTGCCCATAGACAGAAGTGCATCCCTTCAGAAAAAGGAAAGAAATCTGTAAAGATGTGGGCTTGTAGAATCATAAAATGGCCTGGGTTGAAAAGGACCATAATGATCACAGTTTCAACGCCCCGGCCATGGGCCAACCACCAGACCAGGCTGCCCAGAGCCACATCCAGCCTGGGACTTGTCTGTAGTGAGTGTGGATCCCTGGCAGTGGAGCTGGCTTCTCCCACGTGCCATGTGTAGATCCCTTCGCATGGTCTGCAGGCCGTGGAGCCCATGGAGCACGGGCCTGGGCTCAGCAAATACATCCATGCAAAAGCTGGTGTTACACACTTTGTAATTTCTATTTGCGAGTAATCGGGCATTTCACTGGTGTTCTCACTTAATGTGTCCCTTCTATGGATTGTTCAGGTCTGCCTTACCATGTTTGCTAATGCTCAGGTACTGGGGCATAAAGGCAAAAAAACAAAGCAGCAAAGCCTCCTGAACAATCTCTTTTTCTGCAGGAGGAAAGGCATTTGTGCATGGTGTTCAAAACCTGCACTGAAATTAACAGTCCCTCCTGGCAGCCCTGTTCTGGGGCACAACACAGGACACTCACACTAGAGCGGTGTAGCTGTTGCCTGCTTTTATCTCCCAGAAGCATAAAACAAAGAACTGCTGCTGTGCTGCAGAACTGGAGCTTCTGCATTGCGCTCCGTGGGCACTGCGTGTGCCAGCGTGGCTCACGAGGAGCAGTGCAGCTGCTGCTTTGTTTAGGGAGACTTGTGGAGGTTTGGTTCTTTGCACGAGTTTGGACTGAGCGTGGTACGAAACAATGAATATCCTGTATGTTCCTCGTGAACCTTGTCTCTGTGTGAAAGCTGTTAATGGTAACTATAAATGGACCTCTCTTAAATAAGCCCGGCTCTCAGCAGTAGGAACTTGCTATAAAAATCTTAAAGAACATTCTGTCCCACTTTCTCTAATATAATTAACTCTCACTATTTTTTCTCTATTAAATTTTTTAATGTGTTATGTGATGCAGTGTGTCTTCTTTATATCTGTTACGTGTTGTTAAGGATGTCAAGTCATACTGCCATCAGGCTCCTTCCATTAGGACCCAGGAGAGGGTTTTCCTGTAGAAAGGCTGTGATTCAGCTGTGGGTCGCAACACAAGCCGTTGTTCTTTGTGATGGTGCAGCCTGGTTACACAGCCAATTTACTCTGTGAAGCTTTCTTTTCTAATTTTGTGTGCTTGGAGCAGCAAAGTTATAGGTAGAAGAAAGGTGAGTTTTGGTGTTGTGATGGCTCTTGGCATGGTGGGAGGGCAGGCAGTCTGGTACATCCATTTTCTGTAGTTCATGTTTAAAGCATACCTTGGAATGGACTGCAGGGATGGCTACAGCTTAATGCTTGTTATACAGCAGTTGACATTGATTTTTGTCTTTTTGAAATGGCAGATACGTTAGATGAGTACTTTGAGTATGAAGCTGAGGAGTTCCTGGTCTCCTTGGCCTTGCTGATCACCGAGGGTCGGACGCCCGAACACTCAATAAAGGGCAGAACAGAGGGCTTCCATTGTCCTCCAGCGCAGTCAAGTCAGCCACCAACAACTAAGCATGAATGCAGCGACAAGCTGGCTCAGGTACGATGGTCCCATTTCATTTGAAGTGTTGCTACCATGATGAAAATCAGCTGAGAGCCCCTGGTAGATGGTAGCTAAGCACAAGTAACAATTGCTGCCTGTCAGCTCTGCATTTAAACAAGTATGTAATTCGGTGTCATACTAATAATAGATCAGATCTGTCCTTAAAATGAGATCGTTAAGCCTTTTATCCTTGAACATGAAGTTCTGCACAGCTACCTGAATACTGTACCTATTTGAGTCTTTATTATGCAGATTGACAGTACTATACTTAGCATTCATGGTTTTCTTTTTTTTGAGAGAGAGAAAATGTAGGCTGACTTGCAGAACTTTCTGCTTTTTCAGGTGATACTAAAAAGTTAGTGGTTCAAAAAACCAGGAACACCATCAAATGCACCTCATCTCTTTTGGGTTGATGTTGGAGCATCTCTCAACTGAAAGACACAATGTGCTGTGTGAATTTATTCATGCAAAAATTAGTCTGATCCAAGACACAGTATTTCCTAAGGTATTGCTGAGGATGGCCTGTGGAGAGAGCAGTAAAAGTTGTAAAGTATGGTAGTTAAGGAAATTTCTATGAGCTCTTTATTTTTGACTGAAGTTGCTGCAGCTACTGGCATAAATGATTTGTTTGTTTGTCATTTGATAGCTCTAGGATCTTATCGCTGATTTGGTGCAGTGTAGTCTCCAGAACTTGACCCTTACCCTTTTTGAGGTCTTTGGAATGTGATTTTTAAAGTGGGTTTAAATGTGGCTAGTGTTTTTATGGCTTATGTATGTTGACATTTATTCTCTCTCTTAGTGTCGTCAAGCCAGGCGAACCAGATCTGAGGTTATGCTACTGTGGAAAAACAATATTCCAATCATGGTTGAAGTGATGTTACTTCCAGACTGTTGCTATAGTGATGAAGGGCCCAACACGGAGGGGAATGATTTAAATGATCCCGCAATCAAACAAGATGCTTTGTTGTTAGAAAGGTGGATTTTGGAACCAGTTCCTCGACAGTAAGTTGGATATTGGGATCAGTTGATAGTTGCTTGACTTATTAAGTTCTTAATGTTTACCATAGATGGGAGCCAATCAGGCTCTGTTATCTTCAAATTGTTGAGGAATTTTGTTGTTTTGCTTGAATCACCTGTTTTACTTTCAGAATGAAAACCTGTAAGTAGGTTTCTCTTCCTGTATTTAATACAGAATATTCTAACAATGCACATGTAATATATTGTGTGTGTGTGTGTATATATATAATATTTTTATGACTGTAATTTTCTACAGGACATTTGACCTTTTGCCTGAGAGATGATAACGTGTTATAGACAGAGAAGGCAAACAGGGAAAGGGACCAACAGATCCTCTGAAAGCTTAGTTCTGTTAACAGCATTGTGTGTCTTAGTTCTCTTAGTTCTCTGTGTATATTCTGACCATCATCTGTGTGTTTCTTTTAATGCTTTTTAGAAGTGGAGATCGATTCATTGAAGAGAAGACACTTCTATTGGCTGTTCGCTCTTTTGTTTTCTTCTCCCAGCTGAGCGCCTGGCTGAGTGTTTCACATGGTGCTGTTCCCCGTAACATTCTGTACAGGTATGTTAGAAGTGAAAAATATTGTTGCTTTGTTGTTTGCAGGTTAATCCCATTCTTCCTACCCGTGGTCCTTTTTGCCGCCTTGTTGGCCCAGTTCTGTAGTGTTTGTATCTGGTTCCTATACTTTACAGAGTGTGGCAGTTGCTGTGTGACAATGTTTTGTGTTTGAAATTTGCCTCACGAAATAGAGTATCAAAGGCTCTCTGTCTAGATATGTCTATAAAAGCACTTCTGCATAATTTCAGGGTGAGTGCTGCAGACGTGGACCTGCAATGGACATTCTCCCAGACACCAACAGAGCATGTCTTTCCCGTTCCTAACGTTTCTCACAATGTGGCCTTGAAAGTCAGTGTCCAGTCCCTACCCAGACAATCGAATTACCCAGTTTTGACCTGTAGTATTCACACCAACCTTAGCTATTATGAAAAGCAAATGAAAGAGCGTAAGTTACATCAGCACAGTGAATCCAGTACAGCAGAGCTGTGCAGTACCTCCAGTCCACAGCGTGTCTGTGGGAAACAAGCATGGACAATGATACCTGAAGGCCTGCTTAATGTAAGAAAGACACCTGAATTTACTTCATCTATCAGAAATTTAAAGCTTTATCCATCTACTGGTCTTGGATCTGATTTTGCAGCGTCACAGTCTAAAGTTCAGTGCTATAATGCTGCAGCAGACAGTAAGACACAATCTCATGAAACAGCTGTTCGAACTTTTAAATCCCTTTCTTTGGTTGATTCCCGTGTTTCAAATGGCCATTGCTCTCATCAGTCCACAGGAGAAACCAATCCTTTGATAGGTTCCTTACTTCAGGAGCGACAAGAAGTCATTGCAAGAATTGCTCAACACTTGATTCACTGTGATCCAGCTACTTCCCCAGTTGTTGCTGGACGTCCCTTCAACGTACATGAAACCAGCACAGCTACACCAAAAGCTTATCGGAGTACTTACGAAGATGAAAACTTGCTGAGGAAAGGCAAGGAAACCTCATCTGTTCCTACTGTCAATTTAGATAATGCAATACAAGAAGATGGTGAAGGCAAAACTAGAGCAATACCAGAAATCCCACGTCTCGATCCCCGTGCTCCAGCGAACCACTGTGGCCGTCCATCTGCAGGAGAAGGTAATCCTCTCATTGACTCTCTGCTCCAGGAGCGGCGGGAGGTTATAGCAAGGATTGCCCAGCACTTGATTCATTGTGATCCAGCTACTTCTCATGTCAATGGTCGTCCATTCAAAGTACATGAGAATGGCCCGGTTTCGTCAAAAATTTTCCGAAGTACATACGAAGATGAAAATTTGCTGAAGAAAGTCAAGCAACCATCTTCTGTTTCTTTTGCTAAATCTAGTTTTTCTTTGCTAGAGGACAGCAGTAAATCGAAGTTGAAAACACCTGATACTCCTATCAGTCCTAGGTTTGATGGTGAATCGAAGGCTTCTCTGAAACTTCAAGCAAGAAGAAAATTGGTGTTAGCAAAGCCTAGTGATGCTGTCCAAAATGCATTTCATCAGACTTCAGATAAGACTTCTCATTCATTTACTAACACACGTACGTCGTCGTTGTCTGTTAAAGAAAATAAATCCGAATTGCCGGATAAATTGGAAATGATGCAGTCTGATTATATGCAGAAAGACCAGGTAACCAATAGAATTAAACAGTGTTCAAATTTTAGCAGCATCGATGAACAGATTTGCACAAATAAACTTAAAGAAAGAACAGTTGTTAGTGAGAATAACAACACGGGCACTTTTAACAGTTTGCAGATAGATAAATGCAGAATACTTGAAGGTACAAAGAAAGCAACTGTGTTGCAGGCATCTGACTCTTTGCACAAGAATGAACTCAAATGTTCAGATAAAGACTCAAAAAAGCCAAGTATTTATGAGCAAAATACCCAGCTTATTAGTATTGAAAATTATTTAAATAAAGACCACGACAATTTCAAAAATAAAAACAGACAAGATAAAACGAAAGCTGCACATGATGAGAATGAAGAGCCAGTAGGCCTTGATTTCCAAAGCACTTCTCAGAAGAAACCTACAGAAGATGGCTCTATTAGGTGTGAGCGGCTGAAGAACCCAGATGTGCAGGTAAGCAGAGATGAGAAGAGCGGTTTCTTTAGCTGCTGGCAGTCAGGTAACTTGTAACTGCAGCCTATATTTGCTAAGGGTGATGGGAGGAAGAATTTTTGTCTATGTGAAGCAGTGTTGGACTGTTGTCTGCTTCCAGTGAAGTGAAGTTTGGTCTAGTAGTGCTTCTCTCCTCCCTTCTGAATTAAAAGTTTAACATGAGGAGGAACATTGCCTCATCCTGCTCACAGTGATAGCATTAGAAGTGGCATTTTCTGTAGTCAGGTAGGTGTCATGTATACATGTATACACATGTTGTCTTAATGTCATGTGGCCATTTACAGTCAGTTTGTAGTGCTTGTAGATTGAATCAAAGAGAACTCGAATCTATTTCATAATACATTAATGTGATGCAGGTGCACCAGCTGCAGGAGTTCTTGCCACTCAAGCAAACAAATGATAGCTTGATAGGCTGTTGAAATGGCCCAGTAATATCTTGAGTCAATCTGTTTTGCTGACAGAAAGCACCATCACTGAAACACACAAATCTATGGCGGAAACACCATTTTCGATCCTTGGATGGAACTTCAACCAAGGCTTTTCATCCCCGAACTGGATTGCCTCTGCTTTCAAGTCCTGTAAGTTATCGATGAAATTGTGGCTTAATTGTGACTCAGCTTTTATGTGAGAAAGGGAGTATTTTGAATGTTTAGTTCCCGTGTATTGTAGAAACTTTGACGAGATACCTAGAAGAAGTTTTTGTATTTACTTTCAGTGTCAGAGTGAATGCTTTTACAGGTGGAATCTTCAGAGTTAACACTAAAATGAAGTTGAACAATTCTGAAAAAGAATACATTAGAGGTAGTTCTTGAGAGATTTTCAAGAGTAACAAAAGGTAAAATAAGTTCTATGGTAAACAAAGCATTTTGAAGTTGACATATTTAGTCACTGAGGAGTTTTTGTGTGAGTTGTTAATTATCCTAAAGTTTTTGTTTCTGTGAACGGTTTATACAGCATATTCAATATCCAGAGATATAGTTGAGTAAGTGACACAAGGTTGCTGTGATAAGGCAGAAACACATTTATATGAGGGCTGCTCTGAAACTAATGCCTCATGTTTTGTTGTGTTGGCAATTCTGACATGGAAATGTGTATGAAGCGAAGGTGTGGAATTGAATTCCTCCATGTGAAAAAAAAAAATGGCACCCGCTGACATTTACTGATGCTTGCTGGATGTTTATGGAGCCCAAACAGTGGGCATGAGCACAGGAAGGCGACTGGCTGTGCATTTCAGCAGTGGCAACAGTAATGTGAAAGATAAGTCAGTTTCCAGGCCCCATACCAGTTTGAAGTCCATGGAGCACATTGCTGGTCTTGGCTGGACTGTCCTACCACACCCACCATATAGTCCAGATTTGGTGCCTTCTGATTTCCATCTGTTTGGGATGGTGGAAAGATGGACTGTGCGGGTGATGTTTTCCTAGCAATAACACTGCTACAGCAGCTGTGAAACAGCAGGTCACCTCTGCTGGTTCAGATTTTTCCAGTGTGACATGCAGGCTCTTACTGCTGGCAAAAATGCACAGCTAATGATGGTGACTGTGCTAAAAAATAGCATTTTGCAGCTGAGAATTTCCTCTATCCAGTAGTGTTATTGTGCTCCTTGTATCTGTTGGACTTTCCATGGTAATAAACAGGAGGCATTGCAACAGGAGCAATCTACATAGTTCCTGGTTGGTGGTTTGAGGCTTCTAAAGAGAAAGGCATTCTCAATTAGAACTACTGACATACTGATCTTTTATAGCATGTAGTGTGTGTTGTTCTTTGGTGCTTATGGACAATGTCGTATTTTCAGGGAGCTCAGATGGAAATCAGTACAACTTGTTTATTTCTAACACTGCGCTGCTCCAAAGCCTCTTGAGTGAGCTGGGCAGTGATTTAGGGGTGTATTTAGTTCCTGTTGCTTTGTTCATGTGTTCTTCTGGAAGCTCCTGTTTGTGTTGATCGGATTTTTCTTCAATCTTTTGATCAATCAGAACTTACAATCTTCAATAATTTTAGATTTTTTTCACTAAGTTTAGAATAGTTTTCTTCTTTGTTTTTGTGTTTTTGTAATGTTATGCAAATTCTTGGCAAACCTGTGCTTACTTGTCAAAATTGTGGTACAGTTTTTAAGTTAGCATTTTCTTCCCCTTTTGAGGTTCCTCAGAGGAAAACACAATCTGGGTGCTTTGATCTGGATTCATCACTACTGCAGCTGAAATGTTTGTCAGCAAGAAGGTACGTTTTATTTACCAGAAATTTTGAGATTTTTTTTGAAAGAAAACATATATAACAACAAAGATCATTAACAAATACAGATGTATGGGTGCCTTTCTGAATTCTTACTCTGAAATAATTTTTTAAAAATCTCATTGCAGTTGTGCAGGCAGTAGTTGTCAGCCCTTGGTGTGCTGATCAGTTAATGGGTTTTGTCTCAGGTCCCTGAATCAGCATGGTCCTGACAGAGCCACTGCTGAGACCACTCTGTCCCACTGAAGATTGGGAAAGCTGTAGGATACACTTCAGGACTGAAACAGAAAATTGATTAATGATTGATTCTTCTCTTTCCCTGGAGTTTTTTTCTCCACTATATGAAAAGCTTTTTTTTTTTTTCAAATGAGTTGTTTTGTTCTTAGAGTTGGATGGTTAAATATTTTGCTTTTATATCTGCTGAGGGAGCATAACCTTTGAAAGGGACTAGTTGTGGCTTTTTACACATTAATGTGCATAACATAAACAGCTTTCAGTATGGTAGCGTGGTGGAAACTTCAGGATAAATGGCTACATACAGGAGAAAATTCTGTTACTTTATTCAGAACTAATGAACAATGTAAATTTGTTTTGTCTCTATCTCTTGATGGAGGTATGCTTCCGTAACCTAGAGAATGTTTTGCAAGAGTACTGACAGACAGTGTTCAACTGGTATTTCTTTAGCACAGTATTTTGCAATGCAGTAAATGATTCTTTTTAGACCAGGTTATACCCAGAAGAAATGTGTTCATCCTTTATTCTTTTTTATTTAATAGCCCACAACAATGTATAAACAGAGAGAGTGATCCAGAGAGCCATGGAAAACCATTTCTAAGTTCTAGTGCTCCACCAGTAACAAGTCTTAGCCTTCTGGGAAACTTTGAGGTATTGCATATTGTCTAGAAGTCTTGTGGTATTTTTATTATTCTTCTGTACTGCTTTTAGAGCACATTAGTGCGGATAATTCCAGCCAGATTACAGTGGAAAGATTCATAATTAAATTGAATGAAATTTGTTTTAATTTCCATCTATAAAGGCATGAATTTCATTCCAAAGAAGTCTTCTCTCTCAGATACAGAATCGGAAATTTTAACTTTTACTTTAAACTGTGGTTTATTTAGGAAGTGTTCTGTTGGCTTAAATGAGATTCAAACTGTTATTGTTCATTTTTGTCATATATAAACCTAGAAAAAAAAAATCTCATTTTTACTCTTAAAACTTACTCAATGTTTCACAAAAGCCACATGAAATCAGTGTAGTAAACAACATATTGGAAGTGTAGCCTCCAGCTTTCGGTTTCATGTAGCACATCAAATGTCAGTGACTAATTGTAGCACTTACGGATTGCATTATACCTTGTGAAACATGGAGTGAATATGTTGAGAAAAGCTGCAGGTTACAGTCTATTCCTTCAGACAGTGTACACCAAGGGTAGTCATGAATACATCCTGCTGCTCTCTGAGAGCTTTTGTGCAGGTTTGAGTCAGATTAAGATAGGGTTTGCATGATGCTTTCTGTTAGACCACTACCATCTTGCTGAGTGTTCCTCTGTTTGTCGTCATTTCTGCCTCGGGTGTGATTTCTGGTATGTCACCTCATGAAACACTTAGGACCCGGGTTCTTATAGAAACTTGTTTTCTTGTTTCCTGCTTTTTACTTTCTGCTGTATTTTGAAGCGGTCTCAATCTAAGCTGGATGTTTTGTTTTTCAGGAGTCCGTCTTGAACTTTCGCTTAGACCCGCTGGGCATCGTTGAGGGCTTCACAGCAGAAGTGGGAGCCAGTGGAGTCTTCTGTCCCACTCACATGACTCTGCCAGTTGAAGTGTCATTCTACAGCGTTTCGGATGATAATGCACCCTCTCCTTACATGGTCAGTGTATGGTCCAAATGATCTCTCCTCTGTTAAAAACCAGTAAGGTGGAACAGAGTTCATAAGCCTGTAGTCAGGTGAACTTGCCTAACTCATGCTTTAATACAGTAATCAGGCATACAACCCTAATGCTTGTTGAGATGTTTTGTAATTAGCATAGTAACATATGTAAACTATCCAGAGCTATTCAGAGTTTCTCAGCTGATCAGGTACTTCTGTGGTAGTAGACACAGTATCCTCAGGGAGGATATTTTAGCCCTCATCCTTTGGCATTTCAAAGCCCTGCAGTTTTTACATAAGGACAGAGCCGGCTTCGGATATTGGGGAATTAAATTCTCATAGGTGGAGATGGAAACCAAGGGCTAGGTGAGTAGAGAGTTCAGGCACTGGGGCTCTGGAGGGGTCATTTCCAGCTGCTTATGATCAAAGTCTCTTCCTCCCATCCTTTCTCTTTTCTTAACTAATGCATTTTCTCCCATTGCTGTGTCCAACATCCAGCTGCTCTGGTCATGAAATATTACTGGAGTGATTGATCTCCACCATCTCTTTTTATCCAACTTTCTTAAAATAGGCAGTGAGGCAATAGCTGGACTAATAGGATACATTTTGTTTTCCAAACAAGCTGCTGTCCTGGGGAACTAAATGCTTTGCCAGTAAGTAGCTTGGATGGTAGGCCAAGGTACAGTTGTGGATGGAGAGTTTAGACTTGTTGCTGGAGTTGTTTAGCCCTTCATTTTTAGGCAGTTGCTGTCTGAGCTAGTGTTAAGCACGTCACTCTCATGAGCTGCTTGATTTGTTGGTGTTTACACCAGCACTGCAGTACTAATTCTGTTCTGCATTCTACGATGACAGCACAGGTTTGAATGCCTAAAAATTGCTACCTTGTAAAAAGCAAAAGTGTGATTCGATAGTTAAAAGCATCCAGCTGACAGCTAGATTCGTTTTGAATGCCTGTTAAGTAACCTGGGTGTTACCTGGGAGACAGATCTCATTTTGAGAGGTTTTACTGTGTGTATGTGCATTTAAAATACAGTAAATAGTTTATTTAAACATGTAAGCAGAGTTTAATATCTGATTATCTCAATATGTAGACTTCAAATTTGTTGCAGGTACCATATTTTTGATATTCTGCTTCAAATTGATTCAGAAAATGAAGTTAAATGGCTTTGCAAGTTAAGTTTGCATAATACAGTTTAAGCTTGTATGTACCTTTCTTAACTACAGAAAAGTAGTATCAATTTTCTTGCTTTCATCTTTTTAGATTATTTCACCTAATCCTCCAGGAGATGAAAGGATTCTGATGTTCCTCAAATGGTTAAAGTAGCATTGCTTATTTCACTAGCAGGGTTTCATTGTTTAAGGCTTTCCCACATGTTGTAAATATGCAATTATGGCTGAGTCTCACAGGATTAAGACAGCATTTGTATCGTGCCTCCATCATCAGAAACATTGTTTCTGTTTGTATAGCTAGTTTCTTTGCTCTGCTTTTCCTGTTGTTTTTTTTGTTGTTGTTGGATGTTTTGTTTTTGATGTGTCTGTATCAGTGCAGTACACCAGTTGTGCACAGAAGCATAATGGAGCTCATGCTGAAATGCAGAGCCTTAAGGGTGAGCTCAGCAGTGCTGGAGCAGATTGGTTTTCCTTCATGGGTGCTAGTGGGATGTTCATGCTCTGTAGATCCCTGTTGGTACTGAAGCAGATGATATCATTGCTAGAGTTTTGCATTAGAATGGGAGGTTAAGTGCATCTGCTGTCTTTGAAAAGCAAGAATTAATTATTTGGGGATGGAAGTACTATTGGTGCAATTGCAGACCATACAGAAATGGACAGGCAATTCTTTCGTTTTTAACTTAAGGCTTTCTTTCTAGAATGTCTTTTTATTTCTCTGTAGCTCCCTGACTGCTGAACATGTGGAACCTTGAAAGCTGTTTCAAGAGCAGAATGTACTCCTTATCTCACAGCTTTTAATGATCTGCCAAAGCTGTTGATTTTAACTTCATCTTAAATATTGTGTTATATTCTTTAATTTTTTTTCTAAAAATTAGCAGCAACTAAATGAATAGAGCACTATGATTCGTATTGCATCCTGCTAACTGTTTCTTTATTTTTTTTTCTAGGGTGTAATTACTTTAGAGTCCCTTGGTAAAAGGGGTTACCGGGTACCGCCTTCAGGAACGATACAAGTGGTACGTATGCAGCATAGAATGGAATCATAGAATCATTTGAGTTGGAAGGAACCCTTAAAGGTCATCTAGTCCAACTCCCCTGCACTGAACACAAGCACCTACAGCTGATCAGATGCTCAGAGCCTGGTCAGCCTGACCTTGAGTGTATCCAGGGACGAGGTACCCACCACCTCTCTGGGCAACCTGTGCCAGTGCTTCATTGCCCTTACTGTATAAAAAAAAAACAAACAAACAACAACAAAAAAAAAAAACCCAAAAAAACATCTTCCTTATATCCCATATAAATCTCCCCTCCTTTAGTTTGAAACCATTTCCCCTTGTCCTATAACAGCAGACCCCGCTAAAGAGTCTATCCCCTTCTTTCTTATAGCCCCCCTTTAGATATTGAAAGGCTGCTATCAGGTCACCTCGGAGCCTTCTCTTCTCCAGGCTGAACAGCCCCAGCTCCCTGAGCTTGTCCTCACAGGGGAGGTGTTCCTTCCCTTGGATCATTTTTGTGGCCCTCCTTTGGATGCGCTCTAACAGGTCCACATCTCTCCTGTACTGAGGACTCCACATCTGGACGCAGTACTCCAGGTGAGGTCTCACCAGCGCAGAGCAGAGGGGCAGGATCACCTCCCTTGACCTGCTGGACACAATTCTTTTGATGCAGCCCAGGTTACAGTTGGCTTTCTGGGCTGCAAAGGTACATTGCTGGCTCATGTCCAGCTTGCCATCTGCCAGTAGCCCGAGGTCCTTTTTGACAGGGCTCCATCCTGGCAGTCCCCCAGCTTTGTATTGATAGCGGGGATTGCCAAGACCCACGTGCAAGACCTTGTGCTTGGATTTTTTTGATTCTCATGAGGTTCTCCTGGGCCCTCTGCTCAAGCCTATCTAAGCCTCTCTGAATGGCATCCCATCCCTCAGGTGCATCGACTGCACCACAGAGATTGGTGTCATCCACAAACTGGCTGAGGGCACGCTCAATCCTGATGTCAGTGTCATTGATGAAGTTGTTAAAGAGCACTGAGCCCTGAGGGATCAGTGACCACTTGTCACTGATCTCCGTCTGGACATTCAGCCATTGACCACCACTCTCTGGGTACCATCTTGTAACTGGTTCCTCATCAATCAGTTGACTCATCAAATTCCTATCCTTCCAATTTGGAGAGAACGTTGTTATGGAGGACCATATCAAAGGCCTTACTGAAGTCCAGCTAGATGATATCAGTGGTTCTTCCCTTGTCCGCTGATGCTGTTACACCACTGTAAAAAGCAACAAGGTTGGTCAGGCAAGACCTGCCTTTGGAGAAACAATGTGGTTGTCCCATATCACCTCCCTCTCTTCCATGTGCCTTAGCATAGCTTCCAGGAGGATCTGCTCTGTGATCCTACCTGGTACAGAGGTGAGGCCAACAGGTTGGTGGTTCCCTGGGTCATCTTTTCTACCCTTCTTAAAAGTGGGTGCAACATTGTAGATGCGAGTGCATTAAAAGCATTGATACCAAGAAATTAATGCAGAGGGAATTAGGTTATTTACTAGAGAAGAGCATAAAGGTAGCAGTGGAGAAGTGATTTTTCTCTAGAAACTTGTAAAATTGTGATTATTTAAAGTATAAATCTGCCTGTAATTTACGGGATGAGGGAGACTGAACATCTGAACATATCCAGTGCTATGAAAAGGCTTCAGATTAGTTACTGAAGGTTCAGGATAGTTGGTAACAATTCATTATTTCTTCAGTTAAGTAATTTACAAGTCCAAATTTTGAAATCTTTTGAAAAGAGACACCCAGTTAAATATTCAGTCTTACATACATTTTGCAACACTTTTAAAGTACATACTTTCCCTAGTAAAATCAGAAAGTAAATCACAGCCATTGCTTAGAGCCAACATCTGCTTCTTTCTTTTAAGAACCCACGCTGGGGTGACATATTGCTAATTCTAGGTGTCAAAGTGGAGCCCACTTCTGCTGGATGCATAGTCTCAAAAATAGTGGAGACAAAAACCTGACTAGAAAAATAAAAATAGAGAAGCAGATTAGAAGAAGAATAGTAGTCATGTGCTACAGTTTCAGATCAGAAAATGATTACTGTATTTAAAAAACAAGAATTTCTGGAAGCTGAAGTGTTGAAGTATACAGAAAAACCACACATTTTGGCATAAATATTTCTGTCTTATACAGGAACGAAGTGCACAGAGGATGGTGACTATTTTCACAAGTGATTTTTTTTCCCCCCTGGTTTTTCATCTCTAAAGAGTATTGTACTGAACCATCTGTCTTTTCAGACCTTATTTAACCCTAACAAAACTGTGGTGAAGATGTTTGTGGTGATCTATGACTTAAGAGAGATGCCAGCTAATCATCAGACATTCCTACGGCAAAGAACTTTCTCTGTTCCTGTGAGACGAGAAATCAAGCGGACTGTCAATAAAGAAAACAGCCAACAGACTGAAGAAAGGCTGCTACGCTACCTCATCCATCTGAGGTGAGCTGCTGGGAGCTCACAAGAAAAGGTTTAAAGGAGAAATCCAAGTACCTGCCAAAACACTCACTGCCTTTGCCAGCAGCCTGTCTGCCTGCAGGCTTATTTAAAAAAAAAAAAAAGAATGCTGTTGATTTGGTATTTCAAACAGACAATAGGGGGTGAAAAGCTAATAAATAGTTTGGATTCTGCTTGGGAGGAACAAAGATGAAATATAAAGTTCTTTCCTGACATTTTTATGTCCTGTCAAGCTTAGTAGTTTTCTCCCCAGAAGGGATCGAGTTCTGGCTGGATCACAGGACCTTCTCTGAGGTTACAAGGAGTAGTGCACGTGCCATAACACAGCAGGAGCCAGACCAAGGGTCAGCTTGGAGAGGAGAAGGTGGTTATGTGCACACAGGCCTGACAGGAACAGGTTCTGACATGAAGAGCATTTGGAATCACGACTAAATGTGTAGTTTTTAGTGGCAGAAATCTAACAACTTGTTTTATGAATGAGTGCCACTGAGACACCTTTCACTTCATGCAATATTCACCACATCTTCCTTACAGGAAGTACAAAGCACTGCCTGAAACCAGGTGTGATGTGACTGTTCTTGGGGTGTTCTGAAGGCTGCAATTGGAAACAAAGGAGAAGTGATGGCTGTGCTTTGTCCTTCATCAGTTTGCAGACTTTTGCCTGTGTTACTGCATTGAACACACACAGGCCCAGTGATTACAATGCAGCTCTTTAAAACCTGGTGGCTGCTGATGTTTTAAAGCTAGCAGGCTGGACAGTCGGATCTCTTAGTTTAACTTGTAGAATTACTTGGGAAATTTTCACTACTCAGTGGCAGTAGCAGGATTGAAAGCACAGTTGTCTCTAACAGTGATTCCAGATCAACGTTTCCTGTTACATGAAAGTCAACAGGCAGAAAAGATGTGTGTTGACATTGAACTGTGTTTTCATCCTGAATTTTAGTCTGGAGTGAAATTTGTCCTTTCGGGCCACAGTAGCTTATTGTGCCTTACTTAACTACCTTTTAATTTCTGCTTTCATGTAGGTGGTAGGTTTGTTTTAGACAGACCCAAAGCAAGTCTGCTTTCTTCTTTGTAGTCTCTTACAGCCAGTACGTCTGCAGTCTTCTGCTGAGACAGACATGCAGTAATTCTGCTGCTTTTAGTTCTGAAATACCTGTATGATTTAGTCCAGCTGTCAGCATCCTGATGGGGGTTTTTAATGTATAATGTAAAACACGTAATTGCAAATGCAACCATTTCAGGCTGGAAAAACAAACCGTATGAGTATATTATCATTCGTATACGTTACTTTTAAATCTGTAATAGGATTAGAAAATGATTAAAAGCAGCCAAGTTTCCTCAAACCCATCCTGCTGAAAATTTGCGTATAAAACTAAAAAAACCTAAATTATAAAGATTTTCTTAATACTCAGGCTTCTTTAAAGCTGTCTTTCAGGTTTAGTGGCAGTACTTTCTGAAAACATGCTTCTTAAGTTTACATGTTGAAGTTTTGCTCAGAGAAAACCAACCAACCTAGTGAAGTCCCAAATGTGCTGTGGTGGGATCTGCTTGTGAGGCCTCAATTACAGCTGTTGGCACTCGCATTATGAACACCTTCTTTGCAAGTGGTAATTCAGCAAAGATGCTATTATAGATCTGGAACTTTAAATGGGTGGCCAGAACCTCTACAGCACTCTTTACAGTGTCAGAGTGCGTCTGCAACTTCTACATACACAGTTCTGTACATTTGAGATTGGTCAGCGTGCCATTAGGCTGCATTTGTGCAGCTGCAGTCCTGACATAATATTCAGTGAGCAAAGGATTCTTATACAGCCGTCAAGGGTTGATACAATTTTAGAAGTCTCTTGAAGATGCTTTGGAAATAAAAACAACAGAAAAGTTATGTTGCATGCCAAACAAAGACTTCTGTGTTGTAATCAAGTCTGTGTGAGCACAGAAGTGAGAGCCCAGCTGTGCCATGATGGCAACAGTCAGCTGGTTTCTGGGCTGTACTCTGGCACCCCCTGGAAGGGGCAGTTAAACAGAGAACCTGCCCACAGCTCCATGCTTTTCAGGTTTTTAAGGCTTGGTCAACTGTTGTAGCTACTGACATGCTATTTCTCTTAATTGTACAGAGCATAATGGCTGTTGCTTAGTGGCAGATGGGGCTCGTTTCTTTCATTAGCTGGGTGTTACTGAGGACTGGTGAGGGTACTCTTAAACCAGTGCTTCAATACAGCAGTTCCTCAGGGTGCTGAGAAATTTCTTTTTTTTAATGTTTTCCTGATATGGCCAAAGATGTGGCTGGTGGAAGCTGAAGGTATCTGCTGTTCCTGAGTTAATGGTTTCTTTTTGATCTTTCTGATCTCTCAGCATTTTTTCTGAGCAGGAAATGTCTTATTTTCCATTCTTTGTTTACAGCTTTACTTAAAGATTTTATAGGTTGTGCTGTATTGTCTTTTCCTCTTGCAAAAAGAAAACATCTTCCTATGTCCATTTTCACGGCTATTCTGCTGTATCCTGTTCCTGTGGCTGACTGTTCTTTGTGAATTCTGATGGCCTGTTGATACTCAAAGGTTTTTGTGCTTATTTGTCATTTCTCCAGTCACGTCCATCACTTAGCTTCTTTTCCTCTGCCAGACTTCCTAGCTCATCTGTTATTTGTGTTTTTAAGCTTTCCTATATTTGTACATTGGTGCTGTTCCTAGGACACCATCTGTCTGAAATGTCTGCTGTGTTTTTCTTGATTCCCTTACACAAAACCACTGGAACTGCCACAGCTCCAGGGCCACTGCACTGCCACCCGCAGGGCTGTGTGTGATTGTCTCCTGTGAATTCCCACGCACTTGCACATGTGAAAACCTGAGCTGCACATCTCAGTTACTGTGATAGGTACTTCTCAAAAAATAGAGGCAGTGGAAGCATAAATCAGAAGAATCTCCCAAACTTAATTACCATCTCCCACTCATCCTCCTCCAATCTTCGTGAAATGTCACGCTCAGAAAAGCCCAGTTGCAGGGGAGCCATATTTACTGAGCAGAGGGGATCTGACAGGGTTCTTACTGCTTGAAAATAACAAGATGATTAAAAAACAGACCTTGATAATTTCCTGATGGATCCATGTATAAAATGAGGCATAGTTTACAATAAAGCTTTGATAACTAGACCTATCTATTCCATATGAGCTAATGTAGTTCGTCATACTTGTGCTTCAGAAAATCTTTCAGAAAAGTTTTTTATTTAAAAATGCATTATGTGCTACGTGCTGACTCTTTGCAGTGTTCACTTGGCTCCTCATCTCTTTTACTCTCTTCCTTCATTTGCTGTCCTTCAGAATCTCCTTTAAGAATAGAAACTTCTCTTCTTTGCCTGCCAGATAAAGGGCTTCCATACTGACAACACCAAGCAACTAAATGATGGATGGGAGCACTTTGGGGCCAGTAGGAGCATTCTGTTAGACCCCACTACATTTAATGCAGTGTATCTGGAAGAGCAGAATTTTTTTTCTGTCTGGCTGTGTGGATGGCTATGGTTCTGCCTCTCTGCTGAGCGAAACTGTGGCAAAGAATGCATGATTCTGCAGCTCCTCTGGGTCTGCTGTTGTCTTTCTCACTCCTCAGAATTTCAATCTGATTGTCTGCATTTATGATAGAGATGCTACTCTTGCTTTAGTATGGTCTGTAAGTAAATGCTTATTAAAAATCTGTGCAAATTGTAGTAAATGTGATGATGCAGAGTGTAGTTTTATGTGAGCATTTCTCTGTGTTCTTTCTTTTCTGTTCCTAATTCCTACCACAGTAGCTGTTCTCTGTGACTGTGGCATACTGATAGTGATGTTAACTTCAGCTGCCATAAGAAATATTCCTTGATCTTCTGCTCTTCTTGGGTGAGGAAAAGGAAATTAAGGAGTTCTTAAGCCAGATGAAGACTATGGAGTGCAGTTCTCTAAAATGCAAATTGTGTCTTACCTATAGCTGTTAAATTTTAGGACAAATGATACTGGCACATTTCTGGCAGGTTTGGATAGAGAAAATAGATAGGAAATGTTATTCTTTCTTTATTTTAACCTGCTGCTTGCTTAAGAGCTCATTTTGTATTCAAGTGGGTTTTTTTGGCCTTAACTTCTTAAAGGTCCACATATGATTCAATAGTATTTAAAGTTGATCTTTTTCTGATTGTTACGCATGTATGTCATACATAATGTGTATGTTCATATCTTTTCAGGTTCCAGAGTTCTAAATCTGGAAAGATCTACCTCCACCGAGACGTTAGGCTCCTGTTCTCTCGGAAGTCCATGGAAGTTGATAGCGGCGCTGCATACGAACTCAAATCTTACACTGAATCTCCCACAAATCCTCAGTTTTCCCCAAGATGTTAGCAAAAAGTGGCAAACTGAAGTATTCGTTTTACTGTTGATTACTCCGTGCAAGAGAAAATTGGTAAAGCTGTATAAAATTAAATCTGTAAAGGAATGAGGATAGCGCTCGAGAGAGAAGGTTCTTGTGTGATCCCGGACCAGTTTTGTAACAGGTTTCTGGAATGAGCTTTGTGTATTCCATGTAGACTGGAAGCGTACTTCTAATCTTTTTGTACTGTTTAAAACCACTTCATTGGATGTGTTGCAATAGCAATTTCCTAAGTTAGCTTAGTGTTTACACTTTTTATTTTATTTTTCAGTTATTTAATATTTAATGTTTCATTTAATACTCAAGTGATGTTTGTCTTTAGTGTTCTAATGTAGCATAAATCCTATGTAAAATCATACTATGTATTTTTGGCATTAATATTGAATCTGAAATATATACAGATGTCTTTAATCTGTGTGATGTTTTAAGTGATATTCATTTAAGTTATTGAAAATGGGGACAACGGCTGAATTTCCATAACATTTCATACTATGCAAGCATTCAGCTTTCTTTTTTCTCTTTAATGGTACCCTTCTTTCTTTTTCCTCTCATACAGATTTAATAACACTTGCAACCATGGTGTGGAATGTTTGTTTACTTACCCTTGCATTCACATCTTTGATTCAATTCATGTTTAGCTCCCTCCATTCCTTTCTTTCCACAACAGCCACTTTGACTTTGCTGTCTGTTGGTGTTTCATATAATTCCCACCTTTCACACTTAATTTCTCAGATTGTACTGAAGGATGTACTGTGCAAACAAATTAGCATTTATATCTTAAATATATGCAAAAGCTATGGAACATGTACTTTGTTTTATTTTTAGATAAGGAGGATCTTCATGTAATCCTAAATATTTTTAATAGGTCAATTCCATGTAGGCCACTAGGTGGCTATATAAAGTTTTACTAGAGATGCTATGTTGGGCATATAAATGCTTTCCAATACATGTATTCCTAAAACAAATCACAATCAGATAAACAGTTTATGCTAAGTGTTAAACTGTGTAACTGAGAGAAATAAAGCTAGAAGCATTTGATTATATTTGAAGTATATATTTAATAATGTAAATGAAGCTTTATAATGCTTGCCAAAGATCTCGGAGTTTCTCTGCTGTCTTACCTTGGATAATGTTTTTCCTTACATCGCTGTGCTTTTTCATAGTGTCAGTAATGTGAAAGGTGACCTTTCACATCTGGGAGTGTAACATCCTTATCTGACAAAGACTGGAGAACGAATGAATGTGTGCATTGTATATTCAGTGCTGCTCTTAGATGAGGTGAGAAGTCAGAGCACCACCAAATCTCCAGGAAGCCTGCCAGGGACAGTAAGGGAGACCAGACTTTCCAGATGATACTTATCAACTTTCTTGTGTATTCAAATGACTGTTGCTACAGAAGGGCAAAACCCAAATATTACTGAGCTTGTTTCCAGCTGAAGCAGTATTTTTCCCCATTACAGTGGGTTTTCAAAGATTAGCATTTGTTTTAATGAAACTTGGGAGAAATTGTACAAGGAAATTGCTTGCAGTTTCTAGTCATTTGTGTGTCCTGTAGAGCTGAAAAAGGTTTCTTGGTAGCAGAAGAATGAAATACAACTGCAGTTGTACTGCATGTGTAACTGGGGCCTAATGTAGTATAATGGGAATGCATCCTAGTTTCTCTGTATCAAGTGTTCAGTCACAAGCAAACAGCATGTATCCTAGAAGTATACTTGTCTATGTCATGGTGCACATCTGCTTGTGTACCTGATGGAAAAAGGGGTCAGGAAAAGGACACTTTTCATTAAAAGTCATAATTCACCTTTAGTGGATTAACCTTGTATTTTGCACTGACGATATGCAATGATTTTGTGTCTGTATCTTTATATGACTTGTTCAATCCATCATTTTCTCTCTTCAGAGTAATTTATTTATTTGTCTTGAACAGCAGTGAAGTGTGGGTTTTTTGGAGATATGGTCACTACAAGTCATATCCATGTAATGACTTTGTATTAAAGAGTCAAACTGCACTGATTCCCTGTACAGGTGCCATTCAAAATGAAAGTGGCCTCAGGTTATCCATGTACAACTTGAAGGAATTTTCCATTCACAGTTGAGTTGCACAACTCATTAGAGACACACATGGATAAATGCTGAATATTTGCAAAATGTGATCTCTGTTCCATGTGACTTACTCTGCCTCAGTCTAGAAATGAGACTAGACTAATGCTGAGAGGCCATTTGCTTTTTCTGTTTGCTTTTCAATAGGTTCAGCCTTATGAAATTATTTTTTACAAATGTTTCCAAGTGGCTTGAGGGCCTCTAGTGATGGAAGTCACAGACAGTCCTGTCTAGTGCTGAACTTTACTTACGGAGAAAGCTTTTTCTAAAGTCCAACTTGAGCTTGCTAATGAAGTCAGGTACTACTTGTCCTGTTCGCAATAAGCAAAGAAAAGAGTTTACTTCCCATATACTCTTCCTCAATTTTACTTTCTATGTCTGGAACAACTGCAGACTGCTCAGCCAGCCTTGCATTTTCTACCTCTCATCATTCTGGCTCCTTGTTTCCTCCCTTTGGGCTGAATCTCTCTTGAAATGCCTCAAGCTGGACAAGCAGGGCCTCTCTGTGCCCGTTAGTGTGGAAGGATGGGTAGGTACGTCTCATGGATGAAACTTCTCTTCATACATGCCACTATAATACTTGCTTTTTCAGTATCAGGGGGTATCAACTTGTTTTCATCTTGCCTCACTGCACAGCCTCTGTCGTGCCCGGCTCTCACTCCTGTTTGAACTCAGAGAAACGGGCCGGCTGTCGGTCACCTGCGACCCTGTGCATTCCTTATGTGCTCCTATATAGTGCAAAGCACTTGTGCCGTTCCTGAGGTTTTTCATTCACGGACATCTTTGCGCCGGATGCTTTACGTTTATTCTCTTAAAGCACAATTTCAAGGAACCACTGGGCTCTGCGCCGCGGTTTCCTTGAGCGCTGGGCACGGCGGGGTAACGTCACACCCACAACCCGCGAGGACGCCCGGAAGCGCCTCACCGCGGCCCGCGCTGCTCCCACAGAACACCGAACGAGCGCGGCTCCGAGCAGAACCCCGCAGCGCTTCCGGTAGCCCGGCGAGGCCCGGAAGTCGGCGTGACGTAACGGAGGGCGGGGCCAACACCGGAAGTTGCCCCCGAGAGGCGTTGGGCGCGTGGCTCCGCGCAACGGGAGGCTGAGCGCGGAGGAAGTGTGGTCCCGCCGGCGCGCCGTCCTGCGAGCCGCCGCCATCTTGTGCGGAGGCGGAGGAGCGCTGTGCTGCGCTGCGCTGCGCGGAGGAGCGGCGCCCCGCCCGCCGTGCTGCTGCCGCGGCGCCATGTCTGCTGAGAGCCCCGAGCCCGCCTCGGCCGAGGAGCAGAAGGTGGGTGGTGGCGGCCCGCCAGGGGGGAACGGGCCCGCACGGGGCGCTTCCCTGCCTCCATCCGCGCCTCGCCGAGGCGGAGCGGAGGCGCCGGGGAGCGGCTGAGAGGGCAGCGCCGGGAGCCCGGGGGGAGGGGGCCCGAGCCTGGGAGCGGGCGGGCGGTCCGTCCCCGCTGCTCTCTCTCGGCGCCCGCGGTGGAGCGGCACCACCGCGCCGGGCCCCGCGCTGCGCGCCGGGCGGCACGAGGCGCTCCCGCCCGCGCTGGAGGGCCTCGGCCCGCGGGGAGCCCCGGCCCGGCGCTGCGCGGCCCCTCCATAACCCCGCTCCCGGCCCGGCGCGTGGCCCTCGGCGGCGGAGCTTCGCAGACAATGGCCGCCCGCAGCCCGCGCTGCCAGGGCTTCCAGAGAGCGGCGGCCGCGACTGTAGATGCTCTCAGCTGTGCTTCGCCCTTGCGGCGCCGGCGGCGGCTCCCGGAGTCGTCCGTGCCGTCTGGGCAGCGCTGAGCGCCGGCTGCCGGCCCCGCGGCCGCTGCTGGCGGAGAAGTTACGAAACGCGGCGTGCCGCTGTGAGGGGCTCCGGAGGGAAAACGGCCGTCCGTCCCGGCAGTCTGAAGTTCTTGTTTAATAATTCGCTCTCGATGCGCGTTAGCCACGCAGGGAGGGAAGGTTCGAGAGTTGGGGTGGAACGGGGCCCGGTTCCCTCAGCGCGGTGCTCGCCGCACTGGCGGGAGAGGCTCCGAGCGACGGCCGGGCTGTGCGGCACTGCTGGAGCAGCGCTGTAACAGGAGCGCGCTGACATGCGGCAGCGTTCATTGTGCTGCCTTCTAGCGTGTTCTGGGGATGTCAGCGGGCCGGCGCTGATGCTGCCGACAAAGTTTGGGGCTGAAGTCCTGAAATGCGGTGCTGGAGTGCTGCTCTGAAACGCTGCTGTCTGCCGGGCACATAGCATCCCGTGCTGACCTTCTCGTTTAGTTGTAGTCAGGGCAGCCGCTCAAGACAAATGAAAGCCAATAAAACTTCATTGCAACGTTCACCTTCAGCATTTGTCTGGCTAAGCAAAATGTCGGATTGGTGCAGTGAATGCTCAGCTCCATAGTACCTGTCCAACCAACCCGTTCTGCTGTACCTATTGAAGATGAATCCCCAAAGGAACATTGGAGCAGCAGGTTGAGACTTTCCTTACAAACTCGCCTGCTGCAGGGGGCTCACACATATGCTCAGTGAAGGGTGATGTCAACTGAAAACTTTCCATGAGAGCAGTGCTTCCTGTTCTCTGTGTGAAAACTTGGGATAGTGGCGGGAGGAAGTTCGGCAACAAAGAAACCTTCAGACGGCGGTGAACATGTGCTTGTTAATTGATGCTGTTTTTGCCATACAAGTCCATGTTTTTCAGGAAGGTGTTAGCAATGGTACCTCTTGTTTCCAGACTGGTTTTTCCCGTAACTGTACAGTTACACTGCTGTCATGTTTTTCTCATTTTCTACTTTATATTTTTGTCTGATGTCTTTAACTAAAGAGGATGAGCTTTATTTATAATACGGATTGACAAGGCTTCTTTTTAGTAGTGTGGTTCAGCTGTCCAGCAGAGAGCAAACCTCTTGTTTTTCATAAAGATTAAAAGCAGAAGCCATCTTTAAATGTGTTAGATAACTACTGGCTGTGCTGGTAGCTCATTTTAATGAAGTGAGCAGACCTCATTAGCTGTGCAGAAATTCCTATACAGAACTAAAATTACAACTTGTGTGGTTGTCACTAGGAAGAAGTGCGTGGTACATCTTGATTTTTCTCCATCAGTTGTCAGTCATTTGGTTGCTGCTTCTATAATAACTCAAGGGAAAACACTGCTAATGTACCATTGGTCTTGTGGGTTTGGGTTAACGCCTTTGTGTCACAATGATGCATCTTCAAGAGAGCTCAGTGCCACGTAGTCCACAGAAGATAGATGAAGATAGAAGCAGGCAGTGATCTTCCACTGAAAGCTACCCTGGATCTTCTCAATCAGTGGTATAAAGGCCTTCTGAGCTGCAGCTGAACGCATCCAGTGCCTTTCTGAATTCATCTACATTCTTGGTGTCCCCTGCATCCTTTGGTGAGGAGTTCTGGAGCTTGACTACACGTTGTTTGAAGAACTGTTCTAGATAATTTTGACCCTGCTGTCAGGTGGTTGTGTCTGACATCCCAGTCTTTGTATTGCCCTTTGTCGTGCTGTATAGTTTTAGGGGGTCTTAGCTATTCTTGGTCACAAAGAGAAAGTGACTGCAGTCTGTATCCTTTTTAACTGCATTGATACACAATGCAGTATTTGAAGTTTTGGTTGCCTGCTGTGTGATGATTTGTCAACCCTGCAAGTCTGCGTAAATGCCTCCTTTAATGTGCTGTGAACACATATTTGTGTGAGCTCTTTATTGTTGACCCTCTGTTCTTAAAAATATCTCCTTTGGTTGGTATTGGCAAAACATGCCCCTTCGAATGCCGTGCGTGTTGGCTCAACAGCAAGTACCCGGTGATTCAGCATCAGATGTTGGAGTGTTTATTTGTAAGGACAGCTTTTGAGAAGGTCCAGAGTCAGGGTTGGCATGTTAGAAAAAAACAAGAACAGCGGATGAAGAATGCTTGTCATACACATGGAAACTGCACTTCCCTAGTGTGATATTGTGTGGTGAGAGACAGTGTATATAGCTCTGTGTTGTGTCAGGGAAGGTGCTTATTTATTTATCTGCACCTTGCATTGTAGTGCCTGACTGTTTTTGTCCAACTAAAAAGCATCGGTTCCAGTCCTTGTGGAAGTTTCTCTCTAGCTGCTGTAGGGATTTCTGTCCTTTCTTGATATTACTGTTAATTCAGATTCCCTCTGTGTTATGAGATGCTGTCTCTGAGAGGGTCTTGGTGTAATGGAGCAACTAGATAGGACGTTGTATTTTAAGTCTGTTATAAACGTTGCTTGCAAGGTTTCTTACAGGGAGGATGCTGTTAGAGAGCTGGGAGCAGTTGTTAGTCAGGGCAAGCTCATGGGTTGGCTCCCAGCTGCCTCCCTGTCCTTGTGCAGCTGCTTGGTGATCCTGAGGGGGACATTGACCCAAATAAGAACAGTCTGACGAGAAGGGAAAAGAATTGGTACATGGTTATTTTTCCCATGACTTCATTCCTCAACTCACGTTGGATACGTGCGGTCGTGCTGACTGATGCAGTGCAAAGCATGCAAAGTGGATGGAAGGGGGTCTGAAGGGCTGCCTGACAGCTCAAAGTGAATGTGAAGCCTTAGTCACAGATGAATGTGAGGCCCTCCTGGTTTCAGCGGCAGTTCTTTCCATTCTAAAAATCTTTCTGTGACTTCAGATGATAATTGCTGTTCAAAAAGTACAGCAGTCAGCACTATCAATATACATTTTTCCTGAACTTGCCATGGTTTGCATGCAAAAAACAATTGTGGCTGAATACTGGAAGGCACTGTAACCATTATTTTGAACGGAAGATATTTTTGAAATGACAGAGTACAAAGAATTGTGCTTCTCACATTCAATTACTGCATGAACCAGAGCGAAGGACTGTGAAGTAGAGGTCAATGATGAAAGGCTGATGTACCAACTACAATTTTTCCACATGATTGTATTCACATAATCTCTCTGAACATCTGTATTTTACAGTGTTCTCATAGATATGCGTATTCTATGCAGAAATGTCTTTATTTACCTATCTCTCTAATGACAGTATTGGCCTCCCATAGAAGACCAACGTAGAGAAAGACAGTTATGTTTATTATTAATATGGTAGCAGAAATATTTTTGAGCTATTTTAATGCTATTTCACAATGGATATCAATGTCTTACAGTTGCAGCAGAGTTGTGAAAATTAGATTGTTGTGAGAGTAATATGTTGAAACTCATGATGAGGCAGGTAATTGAGAATTCCCATGGTTCTTACCCATCTTTCACATTTGTTCCTGATAGAACCTTTGCTTTGACAAAATAATAATAAAAAAAAACCCAACAAACAACACAAACATATATGGTTTTTTTGTTTGTTTTTTCTTCAAAACTGAATAACAGTTTGCTTTTAGTAACAGCTAATTGCTTATGAAAGGGAGATGTGTTGAAGAGATTCCAATACATATCCAGAAATCTGTGCGTTGGTAAATTATCTGCAGAAGCATTCTACATAAATAATTCATCGTAATATTTCTTTAAAAGTCTTCCTAATTTTGTTTCAGGAAATGGAGGATAAGGTGATCAGCCCAGAAAAAGCTGAAGAAGCAAAATTGAAAGCAAGATACCCTCATCTGGGCCAGAAGCCAGGAGGCTCAGACTTCTTGAGGAAGAGGCTTCAAAAAGGAGTGAGTTCTTTATTGTCTGCGGGTACAGATGAGAAATGCCAAAATTATGCTATCTGTGATTCTCTGCATGACTAGAAGCACTGTGAATTTATCTGTGAAAGCTCAGGGGAAGGTTTTCACAGAACAAATGCCAAACTGAGAGGATAGTTGCATACAACACCAATGGCTCAGCTGCCGTTTTAAGAAAAACTTAGCTTAGAAGCTGGCTCACTATGGCAGTGGTGGGCTTCCACAAAGAAAATGCAGTAAACATTGTGAGATAGAATCTCATCCTGGTTTTGTGCCGACCTCGTGTTACCATTCCTGCGTTTTCAAGATGTACAGCCACTGTTAGTATTCATGTTTTTAGCATGTGACAGCTTGGAGTTTGCAGCCACCAGCTGACATCCGTGGCTTGAGAACGGTGGTGTAATTCTGAACATACACACAAAAAGTTAGAATAAAAGAAGGAGGAGTGAATTTGGGTTTCAATTTTGCTCCACATTTGGCCAGTGTCTCTTATGTTCTTAGTTATTCAACTGTGTTTCTTTTCTCATTTAATTATTCATGAAGTGATGATATAATCCTTTTCAGGCATGTTAAAATTCTGTTCTTAGAATAATCCTGGTCTGTTGTTATTTCTGAAGGTGCTTTCATTGCTGTTGTGCTGTTATTTACTCTCATCTAGGCCTCTGAGTGCACGCAATGATTCCAAGTATAAATCCTTCACAGACCAGCTGTTGGAGTACAGTGCTGATGTAATTCTGTGTTATCTGGTAACATCTCCGGGGAGTGGTTACTGTTGGCAGGTTTCTGGGATGAGCTTTCTCTCACGAAGTAGTGCATGTGCAGTGGGGTAATGGCTGCTGGGGGTGGGCAGGTGGGAGATGTGGTGATGACTTCTGTGGTCAAAGACAACCCAAACAAGGTCAAGTGGGTTCAGTGCCTGTGTAGACACTCCAGAGGCAAGGTAAGTGTGTGTTGTACTGATTGTTCAGGGAGGCAGACCAGTATCCAATCCAGAAGGATTGGGCACAAAGGAATTCTGATGACTGCTGGCACTCAGTGCAAATGTGATATTAAAAAAAAAAAAAAAAACAAGATAATTATGCAAGATCTAATCTTGATTGTGGCACTACTTCATGCAAAGCTTGTTACAGGCTATAGTTCTAAATGGGAGCGTTGGGAGGCCAGTGGGCGTTTTAATGGCCTCAGCATTTGGGATTCTGCTGGTATGATGAAAGATGGCGTGAAGGTGTGGGTTCTGATTTTTAATCTGCCTTTTTCAGTTCTCCATTTGGGATGTGTTGTTAATACCTTTCTTCTATGTTTTATTTTTTGTTATTTTGTTTAGCATGCTCTGTGTCTTAAATGAGGAAACCTTTACTTAGTGTAGGGCTCCTAGTGTACTACCTGGATTGCTGAAGTTAGGAGTAGAGTGAGTGTGTTGTCAGATAGCTTTTGTGTCACAAAGATACCTGGATATATGTAGAATCAGTTTGAAAGGGAGGACATAATACAGGCCATCTGTGAAAAGCCAGAGCAAATCAGGGGAGAACACAGGAGTACTACAAAGAGAGAAATGGGCTGATATTTGAATTTCTGAAAGATGGAAAGGTATCTTTTCCTGTAGGTATTCTTCTAAACGTGTATAGCTAACCGTAGCCCAGATTCTTCTTTCATTTGGCAACTAGGACATGCTGTCCATTGCTTTTGCTGTCCAGAAATGTTCTACATTGTGTGCATATGCCATTATTAGCAAACTTTTTCCAGAATAATATTAAGAATGGATGCCATGCTCCTATAGAGGTATTCTATTTGGAACTGTCTTACACAGACAAAGTGAACAGTTAACACATCTGAAGATTGAGCAACTCTGTTATTACCTAGTTCCTGTTTAAAAGGTTTTTTTGTTGATTTCTTCAGTCTTGAAGAACAAAATATGAAAGTCTGTTTCCAAATCAGGTTACGTTATAACTAAACCCTAGTCTGCAGATGTACCATGGTGTTCTAGCACAGTAAAAACAGACAACAACAACAAAATTGATTATATTGTCAAAAGGGCTGAATTATGGGACGACAGACTGGTAAAATACGGGGTTCAGGAGCACTGGTTGCATGGAAGAAAAATTCAGTGACTTTGAGGTTCTAGCAGGCTCTGAAAGGGAACACTTAAAGCCACCTTCAGGGGGCCTTGCTTTGAAAACAAACCCTGCCTCCTTATCTTTGGTAAAGACTTTTCAAGTTGGGTGTTGAAATAATTTCCGTTCAGCAACTGCTGCTGGACGTCTTGCAGCTGGTGTGTGCTAATACAAAAATGAAGAGTGTAATTGCAGTGCTGCCTGGAAGTGCAGGTCATGATGGCTTTTGTTCAGCTGACTTTGAGGAATGAGTCTGTGTGAAGCTAAATGGGGAGTGTTCTGTCTGAGGTGATTATCCATTGTAAGCAACAGTTGCTAGAGTAAATCTCTGTCCCAAATCTGGTTTTTGGCCTCAATTGACAATCTGTGCAAATCATGGTTATAAGAACATTAATAGGAGACCTGATAGTAAGATTAGACAAAATACAGTCATTTCCACAAACACTGAGCAGTTAAAGACTTGATGGGGGCCTTGGATGAAATTCCATGTCCCATCTTAGTGCAGTGCAGGTAACAAAGAATATTAAAGATAATGCTATTAACAATTAGCTTAAGTACTGAGGCATGCTGTTTTGCAAATTCAAATACTTCTGTTCTGGAGAAACCTGAAGCCGAGGATAAGAATTTCCTTCACACAATGCTTTTTAGCAGGATTGCATGGAAGATCTGGCTTAACTAAATAATTGGTTTGGGAACTTCAGGGATTATAGTCTCGCTGTTCTAATGTATGCAGAAAAAAAAGGTTTTCTTGTTAGCATGCAGTTTCATGGTGCTTTGATCTTCTGGTATGATAAAGCAGAGACTGTTCTCCAGCTTTCCTTCATATATTGTTTGGTTATTCTGTCTAGCAGAACTTGTTCACTGCAGTGTAATTTACGAACCCCCAGGTTTCATTTGCAGTAGAGCAAAGCCCTGTGAGAAATAGGATTAGAATAGTGTTCACATGTGTGTATGGTTAAGGCCCTACATATGTCACTAAACTTGCACCATAATTGATGTTTAGAGTTGTGTTCTTAAGTCTTGATTTTTTTGGATTGATGTAGAGCTACCTTGCTAAATGAGATTGTTTTGTAACTATTAAGTTTTAACGAATCTATATAACCACAGAGTTCAGTTTATGCATCTGATAACGTTTCAGGCTTTTAATCATGTATGTATTTTGTCTTCTAGCAAAAGTACTTTGATTCTGGTGATTACAACATGGCTAAAGCAAAGATGAAGAATAAGCAACTGCCTACTGCTGCTCCTGACAAGACAGAAGTCACTGGTGACCATATTCCTACTCCACAGGATCTCCCACAGCGGAAACCATCTCTTGTTGCTAGCAAGCTGGCTGGCTGACGAGAACAGCTGAACTGCATGATAATTCTCATTCCTCTTATTTTTCCTTAATAGTTATTTCTCACCCTCACATCCCCTTTTTCTTTCTTACACTAAGTCGTGAGACTGACAGCTTTGCAGGTAGCGGTAGCATGTGCTGCTATTGTAAGGGAGTACTGTTTAGAGTAAAACGTGTAGTATTTGGACTAGTTAAGAACAATGCACTGATTTAAAAAAAAAAAAAAAAAAAAAGGACAAGTTTGGTTAAAGCAATGTATTCTACTTGAAAATGTACATATTGCCCATTTCCTAGTGTAGGACTGGTTCCAGCAAGTGACATCGCAAGTTTTACAACTTTAATGTTTCTGCTTTTGTTATTTCACCTTAATTACAGCATATTTGTATTTAATATAACCTCCAGTTGTGTTGGGTTTTTCTTCTGTGTTTGGGTTTGTTGTCTAAAATAGAGGTTTAGACCACAAGTTGCTAGATGGTAAAGCATGTATAAAAACAAACACAGGGCTCTGATTGAATTTTGTTTCTGCTCTTGAACTTGAACGGCCTTAAACCTGTTTCAGCTTTAACAATAGAGTTTTTACTTGGGCAATATTTGCCCATTCTGGTGTAACTCTTGTGAATCTAGTGCTTATTGACAACTGCCTGTTGAAGCTGGTATTCTTTTCAGCTCCGTAGCTTAGGACACACTTTTGTTGAAGATGTGAATGAAGTGTGCATGTGCATAGACTGTTGAATTCACTCTTGTGCCATTTTTGTAAATACAATAGTTTTGCACAACCTTTTGCAAATGTCTATTAATTTTACATTTTAAAAAGCAGATAATGTGCCAATCAAAGCACAAGTGATTCTGTACCTTTCCAAGTCTTGGCCTGAAACTAAGAGCCCAGACTCTTGCTATGAAAGTAAAAATGACAGACCTGAAATTTGTGAAACACTTCTACTTACACTTGACTCAGCCTTATGCTTTTGCAATTGTACACTTTGGCAACAATGTCCAGCATTCAAATACAAATCTGAAAATTATATTTAAAGGCAGGTGCCCTTTCTGTTCAGCAGCTCTTTAAGCTTTTAAAGGTGAAATGCTCAGTAGGGTGACATGGAAGGCAGTTAGAGATATTTCCTTGTGGCAAATTCCAAATCTAGGCTTGCTGAGATTTGATATGCAATTGTCTTTGGGCTATTTTAGACTTCTGGAAGTGAAAGGCTATAACTCTTGTTTGTTTGTTTGTTTTCTTGAACTCCTGAAGTAGTAGCAATAGTAAACTAACTTTTTTTCTTTCTGTAATGCAGCAGCCCCTCATTGGCTTTGGGAAATAAAAAGAACTGGAACATATTTATATAGTGACCTATTGAGAAATTATCAATTTTTCATTTTTAGAAGATAGAAACAAACATAGATTGTTTGTATGATACAGATGGTGAGTACTAGATTGCCAGAGTACACAGTTGATGTTAGATAGCCTGATGCAGAGTATGATTTGTTCAGTGAAATTGGGTATATTAAAGCATAGTGATCTGTAATGTAATTGATTCTAATAAAGGCAATCATAGCCAGGTGTTCTTTGGGAGTGTAAGAAACCCTTTAAAAATATTGGTGTAAAATAATAGAATTAAAAGAAACAGTTCTGTTAAACAATCCAATAAAAACAAAGTACCCATGCAGGTATTGTAAGGGAAACCACTCTTGAAGATGCGTGTTTTCAGAAGGATGCACTTTGTGTTGATATATTCAGAAAGGTCTTGCAGGATAAATGACTGCTAGTCAGGAAGAGGACTCCCTATTTTCTGCAATGCTTTCTAATGGTAAATATAAGAAAATGATCAAGATGAGATGAATAATCTTAATTTGGTCTTGCTTTGATTAGAATATGAGTAAAGTATAGCAGTATCTATATAATGTACACTCTTCAGTTTAGAGGAGTCATTCCAGAGAATTTTTGAAATTATTAACTTGATTCTTATCAAGTCTTTGTGGCCCTTTGCTTGTGATTAGAGAAAGCACTTTTATTCCTTACCTTCTACTGGCATTGTAAAGAACTTGTGATTTTTCACAGAACAGGTTGAAGAAATGGGCTGATTGGGTTTAAGCAAGAAGTTAGGCTGGAAGATTAACAAGCAAACTGGATATATTGAAACAGAGTGCTTTCTGTAGATGTTTATCCTAATGTGAAAATCCCTCTTTATTGTTTTATGTACGAACGAAAATCGAAACTGAATGATAGGACTGGGCCTGAAATACTCTTGAACAAGTGAAGGTGACTTGCTTTGTATTGTCTGGTTCCATTACTCTGTAGCTCACATAAGGTGAGCTTTCTTGATGCTTGGGAAGGTTTAAAAAAACAGCCATTTAAATTTAAACATTCCTCTCACTTAGCTACAGATCAGCTTGTCCTGCTGGTTGGATAACACAAACTCTTTTCGCTGCTCACTCAATGACTTGCAGTTCTCAAGGTTACTACAAATTCAGCTAGAAATAGATTATTTGAAGTACTGTAATACTAACAAGTTTGATGACTGGTTAATGAGCCTTTCCATCTGACTGACCTCAAACAGCAGGCACGGCTGTTTTGGTTCTAAACACCATTTAAAACTTAGGAAGTCCAATAATCATGTAACAGTAAAGCAAATGTGACTGCAGATTGATGCTTACTTTCAGCTTACTCCAACAAGATAACTCAGCTATCCAAATGTATGTACATAATGTATTATATGAGTTTTACCATTTGATAATGACCTTTTTCAAAGAAAACCTGCCCACGCTGTAGACTGGCAGTCCCTTTCATATTTTGCCTTTAAATATAGACAGTGTTTCGTTATTAGACTAGTACTCATCTAGGCTTATCATAGCAGATAGCACCAACATTTTATTCGAGATAGTTAAAAGTGAATTAATTCCAACCTCACGGATACACCCCCAAATTTGTAGCACCAAAGGCTTCCCTCTCATTGTTCTTTACGTAGTAGGACAGTGTTTGTATAAAAGCCACAGGAGTACATTTTGTTGGACATAACTACACCCAGTCAAGATGTTAAGGTGATAAAAATGTCAACTGTTCTTTACAAACTTACACATTGTATAGTATACAGAATAAATTGATCTACTTAGTTTTTATTGCAGTGTGGAGATTTGTCTCGTCTTTACTGTGGTTTCCTAAATGATCCTGCATACTTCCCTGTTCTCTATGGAAAGTTTCTAAACCCTTAATCTTGCTACTCTGTACCATGAGAAATATGACTGGGTTTTGGTTTCCTAGTATGTTAGACTACAGAATTACTTTAATGTAATCACATTTATATATATTTCAGTGCTTATTTTTCTAATAAGGCAATTAAAGCTTATTGTTTGAAAACTCCGTAACAGGTGATTGTTTTGGTCCCTTATACTGATTGAAGGGGATTTCTGGGAGCTAGGCTGGCATTTGGAGGTTTGCATCACTGTAGACTGCATTAACCTGAACCCGGCAGTTTCCAAGAAATCAAGATACTGGGCAAAATCCAACTACTTTTAAAGTCGCATACGGTGACTTAGGTACTGGTCCTTGTGCAATTTCAAGATCCATGTGGTGTATCTACACAATTAGCACGGTAACCAAATCATATTAATGCCTTCTGTACCCTGCATCTCTAACAACCAGAGGTGTCCAATGTGAGTAGCAACATCCAGATGCTGAGCCAAGGCAATGCTAAGGAACACAGGCATTAGTATCCTAATTCTAATGGGGAGGGACTTCAGTTGTCAGGCAAAGAGAAACCTGTCAAACACAGCTTTATGCCCAAGTCTAATTAAATCTGTTGCACAAAACCATCCTTGGAGGAGCTTAGTGTGCAGTCACTGTGCTCCCAGACAGCGACCACATTCGTCAGGCAGAAGGTGAAATTGCAGTAACATGTTTGTTTGATGGCTGGGGGCGTTCTGTGGGGAAAGAACAGACTGGGGGATAGTGTAGAGCATGTGAGCAGGATGAATATATTTTGACTAAAAGTGGAGTTAGACTGACTGTGGTGTTTGATCATTCTTCCTCTAGTAGCAGTGATACACCCCTTACAGATCCAAGTCTAGGTATGTCTGAACATAGCAGGCACTGAAGCCTATTTTTCACACTGGTGTGAAAAAAATAATGACAAAGCTTCTACCCATTTCAGACATAGTTGCTTTAAAACTGGGGCTAGTACTTTTTGTTTCTGATTTTGTCTAAAAAACAGATTTCAGTTGGGCTTAGTTTATTTTATTGGAGAATAATATTGCTTTCAATAAAAGAGGCATGTTTGGGTAATGTATCAGCGTCTCTAGACAATAGTACAGAATAGCTGTTGTTGATATTCCCAGTACAAGAAGATATGTAGAGTTGTTTCCTCAATAGATTTGAGGAAGAAACATCTGTGAGAGTCTTCCTTGAGAGCATTTTTAAATGTGCAGTGCCTTCTTGGAATTGAACTCTAAGGCAGAAATTAAAGCCAGATGAGAGCTCTGGGTCCTTCTGAACATCAGATCAGTTCTCAGGTGATGGTTTTAAGCCTCTGAAAGAATTTCTGCAAGCTGTTCCAGAGGAATCTCCCTAGTAGGATTAGGCAACTTAATTGGGGCAAGATTTCTGCATGGGAATTTCAAAGAGTCACATAATCATAGAATGTCCAATGGAGAATCTGCTCCTTATGTAAGGCATGATGTGACAACAGCCAAGTAGGAAGGCCTAACAGGGATGAGATGGGGACATCATTAAAATCTTACCATTACATGCACAATGCAGGAGATGCTTCTTGATGTAACAATGAAGCTATCAATCTATCTACATTACAATCAGGTTATTTCTTGTCAACTTTCAGTGCTCCCAATTCCTGTCCTTAATGACAAGTGTGAAATACAGTTTTATGCAAATTGTGTCAAATCATAGCAGATTTTGTATTCACACCTATTTTCTGCTGGTGCTTATAATTATGTTTGGCTCCTGAGCTCCAGCTGAGAGAGGCTGATGCAGTAACCATAGGCTAGGCAAACTCCTGAAATGAGTGTCTATCATAGAATAGGTGGTGTCCTGAAAAAGGGGATTGTGTATCAGATGTGGAGCAGGATACATAGGTGTGCTGTCCTGTAGGTATAGGATAGTTTGTTAGTTGGGGGACAACCACAGCCTGGAGCCCCAGATGGTGTGTTCTTTTGTTATGTCTGGAAGCAGACTGATAGCTTTGTAGTATGGACTTCTGTTTTGCCACA